TAGGTAGCGTTTCAATGGGAAGATAATGGCACTCCATGCAGTCATGCTGGCCGCATGACCTTGGAAGTGTCTACGGACGACGCTGGCCCTTCAGCTTAGAAATGGAGATGAGCACAAACCCCAAGAGTCAGACACTAGACTTAATGTCAGGGAAACCTTTACCTTTACCTATTTATTTGTCGCGTCAGATCAACCAGTCAATTATATTACATTTCTAACAGAACAAAGCAAACAAACAGACAAAATACAATACCTTTACCTTACCTACCCCTAATAGCTGCTAAACTGTACATGGGTTTGGGTCAACCTGGGTCCTTTAGGTGTTCTGGACTCTAACTACCGGCTGTTAGGAATTGTAGGAGTTGGGAGTCCCAAACACCTGCGCATGCGCAGTGCAGCTGCACCCTAAGAGACTCTGGTGGCGTTTCCTTCTCCTCTTCCTCCTCCTTCTCTCTCACCTTGCCTTTCCGCACGCGCTGCACCTCAGCCTGGAACTCCTGCTGCCGCTCCAGGTCCAAGGAAAGGAGCGGGGCCGCCTGTCTGGCCTTGGCTTTCGCCTTCGCCGCGGACGGGCCTTCTGCTACCGCCGCCATGACGCCTCCGCCGCAGGAAAAAGGGCCGCCTCTGCCTCACACGGCGTGTGGCTGCCAAGAAACGGAAGCCTCCTGTCGTCACTTCCGCTTGGCTGGCTTGGTGCCACAGTAGGAACAAGGACGGCGGAACAGCGGCCCCTTCTGGCGGGGTGTGGAAATACTGCATGAGGAGTGACTTCAGCATCACATTCACAAATGCAAAGACAGCCAGACCTCCATATCCTCGCATTCTATATAATATAATATAATGTAATGTAATATAATATAATATGATATGATATGATATATAATATAATATGATATAATATAATATATGCAAAGACACCAAGACCTCCATATCCTCGCATTCTATATAATCTAATCTAATCTAATCTAATCTAATCTAATCTAATCTAATCTAATATAAAGCATCCTTTGTTTTTGCCATTTTATAGAAAGGTCAACATTTTACTACACCGTTGGGTTCCATTATCCTCACTGTATATCATAGGATATATATGTGTGTGTGAGTGTTTAAACTTGGGTACAATATACATTACTCTCTCTCTCTCTGCAAAGTAACCTTTGATTTTGCCATTTTACAGAAAGATCAACATTTTACTATGTTCTTGGGCCCTGTTCCATTATCATCATTGTATATCACACAAGATATGTATAAACTTGGATCCGATATATATATTGTTGTTCATTCGTTCAGTCGTCTCTGACTCTTCGTGACCTCATGGACCAGCCCACGCCAGAGCTACGTGTCGGCCGTCACCACCCCCAGCTCCTTCAAGGTCAGTCCAGTCACTTCAAGGATGCCATCCATCCATCTTGCCCTTGGTCGGCCCCTCTTCCTTTTGCCTTCCACTTTCCCCAGCATAATTGTCTTCTCTAGGCTTTCCTGTCTTCTCATGATGTGGCCAAAGTACTTCAACTTTGTCTCTAGTATCCTTCCCTCCAATGAGCAGCACTCTCAGAACTTTCCTCCAACACCACAGCTCAAAAGCATCGATCTTCCTTTCGCTCCGCCTTCCCTAAGGTCCAGCTCTCATATATATAAAAATCTGAAAAGCAACCTTTGTTTTTGCCATTTTATAGAAAGGTCAACATTTTACTACACCGTTGGGTACTGCTCCATTATCATCATTGTATATCATAGGATGTATGTGTGTGTGTGTTTAAACTTGGGTCCCATATACATTTCTCTCTCTGCAAAGCAACCTTTGTTTTTGCCATTTTACAGAAAGATCAACATTTTACTATGTTGTTGGGTCCTATTCTATTATCATCATTGTATATCACATGAGATAGTATAAACTTGGATCCTACATATATATATATATATATATATATATATATGAAAAGCAACCTTTGTTTTTGCCATTTTATAGAAAGGTCAACATTTTACTACACCGTTGGGTACTGTTCCATTATTATCACTGTATATCATAGGATATATATGTGTGTGTGTGTGTGTGTTTAAACTTAAGTCCCATATACATTTCTCTCTCTCTACAAAGCAACCTTTGATTTTGCCATTTTACAGAAAGGTCAACATGTTGCTATGCTGTTGGGTACTGTTCCATTATCATCATTGTATATCATTGAGATATATATAAACTTGGATCCTATATGTGTATATGTGTGTGTGTATGTGTGTGTCTGAAAAGCAACCTTTGGTTTTGCCATTTTATAGAAAGGGCAACATTTTACTACACCGTTGGGTACTGTTCTATTATCATCATTTTGTATATCATAGGATATACGAGGGGTATTTTTTAAGTAAGGTCCGTTTTGTTGTAGACACTAGTAGTTCACATGCATACCGCAACGAGCGCATGCGTCGTGTACCGGCATGCCTCGGGAACAACTGTGCTCAGTTTCCGCTCTGTAGCTAACCTGTACGGTTCTGTTCTGTGCTTTAAAAATGTTTAAGACTATCAACTCACCCTCCGCATGTGAGGTTCGCTCAGTGATACGGTTTTAGTCAGCAAGGAACCTGCCTGCTGCAGAAATTCATCGACAGATTTGTGAAGTGTACGGTGATACTGTTATGAGTGAAAGCAAAGTGGTAAGTGGGTACGACAATTCAAAGATGGCCGTGACAACATCCATGATGAGGACTGCTCCGGTTGCCCTTCTTTGATTACAGTGAACTCTTGGTTATTGGAGCAGGCGGCAAGTTTTTATGAAGAGGGTATTTTAAAATTGGTTCAGAGGTATGATAAGTGTTTGAACAAACTTGGCAACTATGTCAAAAAATAGAGTGAAGTATGTACTTTCCGAAAATAAATTTACTTTTTTGAAATAAACTTTTGTTGTGTACTTATGTTCAAACGGACCTTACTTAAAAAATACCCCTCGTGTGTGTATATATATATATATATATATATATATATATATATATATGTGTGTGTGTGTGTGTGTGTGTGTTTAAACTTGGATCTCATACACACACACATATATATATATTTCTGAAGAGCAATTTTTGATTTTGCCATTTTATAGAAAGGTCAACATTTTACTAGCTCATTCGGTATATTTCCATTAGGAGACACACACACACACATATAAGAGCTTGGATCATATATAATCCCATTTTATACATTTTAACTGTATTCTCAATTCACTTCTGACATGATAAATAAAATAAAAAAATTATTATATGCAATGATAATGGATCAGATACACACATCTATATGTTTAAACTTGGGTCTTCTCTCTCTCTCTCTATATATATATATATTTGAAAAGCAACCTTTGTTTTTGCCATTTTATAGAAAGGCCAACATTTTACTACATCTTTGAGTACAGTTCCATTATCATTACTGTATATAATAGGATTTGAGAATTGCAACTCCTATGATTCCAGTCAAAGTGGTCCTAAACTGCATTAATTCTACTGTGTAGATGCACGTAAAAGGAATGCAACCCTACCCAGTGATATAAAACTAGACATGGGAACTTGTTGGGATTAAACTCCCAAATTAAATATGCAGAAAACCAATCCTGTCCCTTAAAAAAAAAATCCCTCCCAACTCCTATGATCCCAGTTAAAGTGGCGCCAAACAGCATTAATTCTACAATGTAGATGCACCCAAAAAAGACTGCAATCCTATTCAGTGACATAGGAGCAAAACATGGGAACTTGTTGGGATTAAACTCCCAAGTAAAACATGTAGAAATCCAATGCTATCCCTTTAATTCTTTCCCAACTCGCATGTTCACAGTTAAAGTGGTGCCAAACTGCATTAATTCCACAGTGTAGATGCATCCAAAAAAGACTGCAATCCTTAATTAATTAAACTTTTATTTAAAATTAATAAAATAAAAATATTAATATAAAATAAAATAAATAAAAATTAAAATAAAAGAGATTAAACTCCCAAGTAAAACATGTAGAAATCCAATGCTATCCCTTTAATTCTCCCCCAACTCCCATGATCCCAGTTAAAGTGGTGCCAAACTGCATTAATTCCACAGTGTAGATGCATCTAAGAAAGACTGCAATCCTTAATTAATTAAAATTTTATTTAAAATTAATAAAATAAAAATATTAATAAAAATAAAATAATTTAAATAAAAATAAAATAAAATAATTATTATTATCACACCCAATGATAATGCGGCATGTCTCATTAAGAGCCACATCCACTGTTTTAGTGTGGTGAGATGTGTTCCACACTGGGCATGCATACTCAGCTGCAGAGTAGCATAGCGCAAGGGCAGATGTCTTCACTGTGTCTGGTTGTGATCCCCAGGTTGTGCCAGTCAGCTTTCGTATGATATTGTTTCTAGCACCCACTTTTTGCTTGATGTTCAGGCAGTGCTTCTTGTAGGTCAGAGCACGGTCCAACAAGAAGCACTGCCTGCACATCAAGCAAAAAGTGGGTGCTAGAAACAATATCATACGAAAGCTGACTGGCACAACCTGGGGATCACAACCAGACACAGTGAAGACATCTGCCCTTGCGCTATGCTACTCTGCTGCTGAGTACGCATGCCAGTTAAAGTGGTGCCAAACTGCATTAATTCCACAGTGTAGATGCATCCAAAATTAATAAAATAAAAAATAATTAAAAATAAAAAATAAATTAAAATAAAATAAAACAATGAAAATAAAACAGATTAAACTTCCAAGCAAAACATACAGAAAGCCAAATTAATAAAATAAAAAAATACAAATTAAAAATTAAAATAAAACAGATTAAACTCCCAAGCAAAACATGCTTTTTCTCCCTCTGCTGTTCTTTCCACCAAAACTACTACAAGGCAACCCAACTTGAATCTTCTCCTCCCATTGGAGGGACACAAACCCTATGATACCTACTAGGCAAAATGAAAGCCAATCAGGAGAGCGCTTCGCGGTTGGCTCCTCCAGCGATAGGCGGGCTTTGGAACAGCGGCGGGTTGCCGATTGGTGGAGAGAGGGAGAGGAGGCGGGCCTTAGCGAGGTAGAACGGGAGAAAGGGATCCCGCCGCGCGCGCTGTGAAGAGAAGCAGAGCGGAGCCTCGGTTGCAGTCATGAGCGGCGGGGTCTACGGAGGAGGTGAGCGGAGGGCTTGGCGCATGCGCGAGATCAGAAAGCCAGGCGGGGCTGCGGCGCCTTTAAGACCGAAGGGAAGGGAACTCTCCTTTGAATGACTCTGGAGTGGAAAGCAGGGGAGACTCGCTGAAGTTGCAGCTAGACCAGGCCTGGGCCAACTTGGGCCCTCCAGGGGTTTTGGACTACAACTCCCACAATTCCTAACAGCCGGTAGGCTGTTAGGAATTGTGGGAGTTGTAGTCCCAAACCGGCTGTTAGGAATTGTGGGAGTTGTAGTCCAAAACCCCTGGAGGGCCCAAGTTGGCCCAGGCCTGCCTGATCAGAAATACAAGCTGATTACTTTGCTGACTTCTTCCAAACTAGCTTTCACCCCTTAATGGATTGTCACTTTGTTGTGGTGAGGAGACTTGTGTCTTCCAGGCCTCTATAACTTCAATGTCTTTTGCCCATAAACTTACTATTTATTTGTTTATTTATTTATGATATTTCTACCCCGCCTTTCTCGAATCCGAAGGTGACTCAAGGTGGCTTTACAACACAAATCCAGACAAGACACAGGTCCTCCTGGTCAGACACAAGGCCAAACAGGGCATAGGGTTACACTCCCCCTTATATTTTGTCGTGTCAGGAGCAACACCAGAGACTGCAAGTCGCTTCTGGTGTGAGAGAATTGGCCGTCTGCAAGGACATTGCCCAGGGGACGCCCAGATGGTGCAGGTTCGCAGCTTGGGAGTCATCCTGGATTCATCGTTGAGCCTGGAACACCAGGTTTCGGCGGTGACCAGGAGAGCTTTTCCCGTACCTTGGGAAGTCTGACTTGGCCACTCTAAACACCTTTGCAGAAGCATACACGAAACTTGGCCCGTCACTGAACATCGAGAAAACCAAAGTGCTGTTCCAGCAGTCACCAGCCATCCCCTCCCCAATGCCAGAGATACAACTTTATGGTGCAACATTAGAAAATGTTGACCATTTCCGCTACCTTGGCAGCCACCTCTCCACCAAAGTCAACATCGACACCGAAATACAACACCGCCTGAGCTCTGCGAGTGCAGCATTTTCCCGAATGAAGCAGAGAGTGTTTGAGAACCAGGACATTCGTAGGGATACCAAGGTGATTGTCTATAAAGCTATTGTCCTCCCAACCCTGCTATATGCCTGTGAGACGTGGACTGTCTGCAGACGTCACATGCAACTCCTGGGAAGACAAGCGGACAAACGTCAGTGTGCTGGAAGAAGCAAAGACCACCAGCATTGAAGCGATGGTCCTCTGCCATCAACTCTGCTGGACCGGCCACGTTGTCTGGATGCCTGACCACCGTCTCCCAAAGCAGTTGCTGTACTCTGAACTTAAGAATAGAAAACGGAACGTTGATGGACAGGAAAAGAGATTTAAAGATGGGCTCAAAGCCAACCTTAAAAACTCTAGCATAGACACCGAGAACTGGAAAGCCCTGTCCCTTGACCGCTCCAGCTGGAGGTCAGCTGTGACCAGCAGTGCTGCAGAATTTGAAGAGGCAGGAATGGGGGGCGAAAGAGAGAAACGTGCCAGGAGAAAGGTGTGTCAAGCCAACCCCGACCAGGACCGCCTTCCACCTGGAAACCAATGCCCTCACTGCGGGAGAAGATGCAGATCAAGAATTGGGCTCCACAGTCACCTATGGACCCACCAGAATACTGAGCCTGGAAGACTATCCTACTCGGCAGCCAGTGGAGATGGTGTAACAAGGGCGTTGTGCACTGCCTGTACCCAGCCCCAGTGAGCAACCTGGCTACTGAACGTTGGACTAGTTGAAGCTTCCGGGCAGTCTTCCGGGTTGCTTCTGAAGACTGCCCGGAAACTGCAATAAGTCCAACGCTCGGCAGCCAGGCTACGGACAGGAGCGGGGTACAGGGAGCACACAACTCCTCTGTTGCGCCAGCTCCACAGGCTGTCAATTACCTTCCAAGAACAATTCAAAGTGCTGGTTTTAACCTACAAAACCAGATACGGTTTCGGCCCAGTTTACCTGTCCGAACGTATTCTCCCCTATGAACCATCAAGGCTGTTAAGATCTTCCAGAGGGGCTCTGCTCTCAGTTCCACCACTTTTGCAATTGCGTCTGGTGGGGACGAGAGACCGGGCCTTTTCCATGGTGGCCCCTCGGCTATGGAACTCTCTCCCAAATGAGATTAGATCTGCCCCCTCTCTCCTTGCCTTCAGGAAGCTAGTGAAATCCTGGCTATGGATTGAAGCTTTCCCAGAATAATGGCTGAGACCGGCAACAGACTAAAGTTATTGACATATGCGGACTAAGTTGGACATGATTTTATCTTGGTGAACTGGCTTATATGTATTTTACTTTATATGTATTTTAATCTATTGTTGTATGATGTTTTAAACTGTGTTGTGGCATTGTGAGCCGGTCTGAGTCCCTCTGTGGAGGTTGAGAAGATCGGGATATAAAAGTTTTGAATAAATAATAAATAAATAAACTTATTTGCCTCATAAGATTTTGTTTTTGTTTAATCAAAGTTATCCAGAGTCTATATTTGTGTTTGCAGATGAAGTTGGAGCTCTGGTCTTTGATATCGGGTCTTACACTGTGAGAGCCGGCTATGCTGGAGAAGACTGCCCAAAGGTAAGAACAAAAGTGGGCTGTTATTACCTGGTAACAATGGCATCGTCTACACTGCCATATAATCAAAGCAGATTATCTGGATTTTATATGGCAGTGTAGTAAGAGCCATAGTTTCGTGCCAGAAATACAGTTTAATGGTGTAACATTAGAAAATGTATTGCCGTATTCCTGAAGAATTCTCAGAGGTGATGAGGTCTGTTGGAAACTAGACAAGTGAGGTTTAAATATCTGTGGAATGTCTACGGTGGGAGAAAGAGCTTTTGTCTGCTTGAGGCAAGTGTGAAGGTCCCCCATGACTTTCCGGCAATCCAACTATCCACATGTGGGCTAGGCAAAATTACGGTTAGGTGGATCTGTAATTGTTTAAGTGAACGAACCCAGAGGGTGCTCACCAATGCTTCATCTTCATCCTGGAAAGAAGTGACGAGCGGAGTGCCGCAGGGTTCCGTCCTGGGCTCGGTCCTGTTCATCTTTATTAATGACTTAGATGAAGGATTAGAAGGCATGATCATCACGTTTGCAGACAAAACTAAATTGGGAGGCATAGCCAATACTCCAGAAGACAGGAGCACAATTCCAAACAACCTTAACATATGAGAGTGGTGATTGGCCAGAACTAACAAAATGAAGTTCAGCAGGAACAAATGCAAGATACTCCACTTAGGCAGAAAAAATGAAATGCAAAAATACAGAATGGTGGGGTGGGGGGGGGCACCTGGTTCAATAGTAGTACGTGTGAAAAAGATCACGGAGTCCTTGTGGACAACAAGTAAACGTGAGCCAACAATGTCATGCGACAGCTAAAAAATACAATTGTATTTTGGCCTGCATCAGTAGGAGTCTGGTGTCTAGATCCAGGGAAGTCATCCTACCTTTCTATTCTATTCTGCCTTGGTCAGACCACACCTGGAATACTGTGTCCAATTCTGGGCACCACAATTGAAGGGAGATATTGACAAATTGCAATGTGTCCAAAGGAGGGTGACTAAAATAATCAAGGGTCTGGAGAACAAGCCCTATGAGGAGTGGCTTAAAGAGCTGAGCATGTTTAGCCTGCAGAAGAGAAGGCAGAGAGGAGACATGATGAGAGCCATGCATAAATATGTGAGGGGAAGTCATAGGAAGGAAGGAGCACTCTTGTTTTCTCTGCCCCGGAGTATGGTGGAGGCTCCTTCTTTGGAGGCCTTTAAGCAGAGGCTGGATGGCCATCTGTTGGGGGTAGTTTAGTCTGTCCAGTAGGCCATGTTCTCTTCTACTCGGCTGCCCATGCACTCACTTCTTCGTGGGTGACCTTTCCCTTGTTCCCATCGCATTCTGAGGCATTTCGGGTGGGGACATAAGAGAGTGGCTGCTCCCAAGAGTTCCATATTGTCACTTTCGACCATTAGGTGAGCCTATTATGTGGCTGTTTTGGGAATAGTTTCCTTTTCTCTTCCTCTAAGGCTGGAAGAGGGTTGCCTATAGTGACCTACTGAGTTTTCATAATTGAGCAAGAATTCGAATCCTGGTCTGCAGAGTTGTAGTCCAGTGCTCAAAATACTGCATCTCCCTGGCTACCCCAAACCGCTGTACTGTAGAAAATGTGCTTTGAAAAGAACTAAGATCAGCTTCAAAGGCTATCTGGATAGTTCTAGGGAATAGAGGTTTCTGTTTGAAGGCTTCATCTTCCAGGGAAATGTATGTCGTTATTGCTGCTGTCTTTAAAAATGCTGAGGATGCCTCTTTTTTGGTCTGCAGTTGATATTTTAAAATCTTTAGCTGTTGCTGCTCTCAGTGTGTATATGAGAATTGTATCTACATTTTGCCATCTAGAGGCCCGTCCATGTGCCATAAAAAAGTGCCATAAATCTTTAGCTGTTGCTGGTCTCTGTGTGCATATGAGAATTGTATCTACATTTTGCCATCTAGTGACCCATCCTGAGAAGACCATGTGCCATAAAAAGTGGGTTAAATATATTTTAAACAGATATAAAATGTATTTTAAAAGTGAAGGAAGACACAGAAACAAGCTAGTATTATCAATGTGAAAATGTATCATAATGTATGAGTGAACCACAGGCAGGCAGAATCAGCAAAGGTGCATTTCTATTTTCCCTTACTATTCATCAGCTCTTTTCTGTTTTCCTCTTAAAGCATCCCTTTCCTGCAACAGAGAGCTCGCTGAGAGCATCACATAATCTTGTTTCCAAACCTCTCATTGCAGGTTGATTTCCCCACTGCCATTGGCATGGTAATGGATCGGGATGATGGAAGCTCCATGATGGAGATTGATGGTGACAAAAACAAACAAGGCCCAACGTACTACATAGACACAAATGCCTTGCGAGTTCCAAGGGAGAACATGGAGGCCATTTCACCTTTAAAAAATGGAATGAGTATGAAGTTTGCATTTCCTCCCTTAAATCTGGGCTTTGACTTCAGAAACAACAGAGATTGTTATATGTGATACTCAACAAAGGGGAATTGATCTGCTTGTGGAACACTCAGTGGTCAGGAAGTGAAAGAAATGTGGCTTTGATATTGCTGAGATTTTAAAATATCCAAGTTCTTTAGAAGGTATCCCTTTTAGCTATCCCTAGTTACTGAGCCATTCACCTACTTGTGCTTTTTCTGCAAAGAAATAAAAAATTAATTTAATTTTTAAATATTGTCGTGGGGAAAATATGACATTTATTAAAAAATGATATTCGTCTGCCTTGTGTTTTCCCCCTTTCCTTGGGAACACTTCCCATTCAACACATTCTCAAGCATGGTGGCTTAGTGCAGAGATAATGCTGAACCTCTGATAGCCTTACTTTGGATAACAACAACCCAAATGTTTAGAAAAAGCATAAATTTTAACTCAGCTAGCTAAGTTGTGCCCCAGATCTAAGACTCTCCCCAATCCAATGTTCATTTCCAACTAGGTACATCTTTGAGCTGCAGAACTTGCTGACTGAAAGGTCGGCAGTTCGAATTTGGGGAATGGGGTGAGCTCCCACTGTTAGCCCCAGCTTCTGCCAAGCTAGCAGTTTGAAAATATGCAAATGTGAGTAGATCAATAGGTACCGCTCTGGCAGGATGGTAACAGCCACATGACCTAGGAGATGTCTACGGACAATGCTGGCTCTTCGGCTTAGAAATGGAAATGAGCACCACCCCCCAGAGTCGAACATGACTAGACTTAATGTCAAGGGGAAACCTTTACCTTTTACATCTATGCATGTGGACATTCCATTGATTTAATAGAGATAACCCAGCAATTGAATTAAATCTTCTTTGTTCATAGAAATTGCCGTTGGGGAGAAACCTTGAGATGGAGAACTTGGCTCAATAAGGCTTATGCAAGGCAGATGTCATGCCTAATTAACTTTTGCACACCATTGTTTTCAAACGGATTTCAGACTTGGGGGTATTTAGGACAAAAAAATTAAAAATGGGATGGCACAGGTTTACTTTCCAAGTTTCTTCTGGGCCAGTGTTACCCCATCATGCTCAACAGTTGTCCACTCCTATATAAGCCGACTATATGTCCAAAAGTTCATTTTCTCAAGGATAACTCTAGGACGATAAAGCTTTAGACATTGTGTTTGGGGGCAAATAGTACATTTTTTTAACAAACACTTTGATCAGCTAATGAGAAACTCATATTTTGTGGCATGGTTCTAGAAAATTTCATCTAATATTATAAGTCACATGCAGTGACATTATCCTTCTGTGACCTCTCAGGACTGTGAGTACAGTCAGGAATTGAATGTTGTATCACCCCTCAGTTCTGTCACTGTGGCTGGGATTCTCTCAATCTGCCAGCCTGCTTTTTTCCTGCCACTTGCCTGTCCACATAGGCCTTGTGTTGATAGTGTAGTTCAGGTTCCACTCAGAACACAATTTCTAGCAAAAGTGGCTTTGCTTATCTTTTTGTTGTTGCAGTTGAAGATTGGGATAGCTTCCAAGCAATTTTGGATCATACTTACAAGATGCATATTAAATCTGAAGCAGCTTTGCATCCTGTCCTAATGTCTGAAGCACCGGTGAGTAAAAAATCATATATATATTTAATGTGCCTGATCAGTTTGATCCATAGATCCCTGGCAATTTAAGAACTGTGAAACTCTAACTAAACTGTCGAGGGGGAATGAATGGTAAATTTAGAACCAGGGCTTTGAAAAGCACCTAGGCAATGCTACTGAGTTATCTATTCTAGCCTGTCATATGTATAATGTTTAAGGAAAATATATGTTATGCCTGCTGTTATTGTTTTATTCTCTAAAAATGTTGTATAGCTGTTTTGTTCAGTGTTAATGGGCAGAGAAATTCTGGTGATTGTGGATGTTAGCTCAATGGCTTTTTTCCAAACATCATTATCATCATCACTTTATTTCTTAATTAGTCGCTCTCCACCAAGGTGCTCCGAGCGACTTACAATTTAAAACAGTTTATACACAATATAAAACATTCAATATAAAAACATTCAACATAAAAACATTCAGCAGTGACTATGGCAAAATTTGATCCGGTTACTTAAATGCACAACCAAACAGCCAAGTCTTGAGCGCCTTTGCAAAAGGTCAACTCCGACATTGCTCTAATATATGGAGGCAATGAGTTCCACAGAATTGGAGCATAGGTCGAAAAAGCTCTACGCCTTGTAGCTTCCAAGTGTACCTCCCTAGGGCCCGGTATGTATAGGAGATTTTCCTGGGTGGATCGAGGTGACCACTGATGGGGAAAAGGAATGAGGCGGTCCCTAAGATATAAAGGTCCTTGGCCATTTTGAGCTCTAAATGTCAGGATCAGTATCTTGTAAGACATGTCCATGTTGCCTTTTGCTTGGAAGGCAGATGGTTCCCCCATCCCTTTCTGTTTTTTTTCCATTCTGTGCAACATATGGGGTATTGATTATATTACTGAGCTGAGCTGGTAAACTACTTCTACACACATTAAAAAAAAAAAAGCAAAGTGCAGGTTTTTTTTTAGAATATTTGTATAGCCTGGGCAGTCTTCACTGGAATTTTTATACAGTAATCAGGAGTTTCTCCATGGTTGAGCTGGTCTTAGAGCTGGCTTTGGAAGCATGCACTTTTTCTTCTAAGCAGTTTCTTACTGCTTTCTACCCAATATGATATAGTTTAATTTTAAATGTGTGCAAATCTCAACCAAGTTTCCTTTTATTAGTAATGTTAAAATCTATGCAAATTGTATATGGTAATTTGTGAAGCAAATGTGTTATCTATAATTGTATAAATAATATGAAACATTAATTTCCTTGGGGTAAGGAAGGAACAAGTTACATACCATAGGGGGTATCTGAGAATATGTATCCATCATCCTGGCTTCCAGTTTGCAAATCATGACTTTCATGAAGTGTTTTGTCCACACCATGATAAAATGATAAATGAAATAATGCAGACTTTTCTATTCCATTTAAATGACGTGTTCCTATTTGGTTGCATGTGAGAACACTTTTTTCTCTTTGCTGCTGTAGTGGAACACCAGAGCGAAGCGTGAGAAACTGACCGAACTGATGTTTGAACATTACAATATTCCCGCTTTCTTCTTGTGCAAAACTGCAGTACTTACAGCGTATCCTTGAAATGTTCCAGAAATTATGTTGGTCACATTTTTCTTTTTTGCAGAATGAGAAGTCTGTCAGTGGCTTAGAAAAATGTTCCATCCCATGGGAAACTATTTTTTGGCTTTGTGTAGCTGGGTATTGCAGAATATCCAGAACATGGTTTCCAGACTTTTGAGGAGTGGTTTAAAGATTTGAGTATGTTTAGCCTGCACAAGAGAACGCTGAGAGGAGACATAATCACCATGTTTACATGTTTGCAAGGCTGTCATCAGGAAGAGGGAGCAGGTTTGTTTTCTACTGCCCTGGAGACTAGGAGCAAGGGGTTTGAATTACAGGAGAGATTTCAATTGAACATTAGGAGAGCTGTTCAATAGTGGAACTCTCTGCCTTGGAGTGTAGCAGAGCCCTTCCTTGGAGGGTTTTAAACAGAGGCTGGATTGCCATCTGTTGGGGATGCTTTGATTGTACTTTTGCTGCATGGCAGGGGGTTGGACTAGATGGTCCTTGTGGTCTCTTCCAACTCTATGATTCTATTATCCTTCATGCAATGCCCACCGTGGACAGGGGACATTTTAGAAAATTTTGGAAATTCCATGGTGTTAGAAAACACTCCAGAACTTGTTGGATGCAATTGTACAAATGTTTCATCTAGTTTCTTAATGCATTTACATATTTTGGGGCAAACTGCCTAGGGAAATCTTGTTGAAGGTTAAGGTAGGTATGTATATGTGGAGTGGAAATGTAACTTAACATGGAACGATCTCAACTGTAAATGCAGTTTTAAATAAGAATTTACCATGATGCATGTTCCTTAACTGCTTTTAATAGCTTTGCTAATGGCAGATCCACAGGCTTGATTTTAGACAGTGGAGCGACACATACCACTGCAATTCCAGTGCATGATGGATATGTGCTCCAACAAGGTAAGAGTCATTCTAGAGATGGTCTGATCGCAACTTGGAAGTTACACTGAGAACTTTGTAGGCGTATGACAAACAATTGAGTGAGCTCATTCATGCACTGAAACATATAGTGATGGCCATGATACATTTTAAAAATTACTTTAACTGAACTCATGGAAGACAATAATAAATTGTGTTAGCCAAAATGGAACTTCCATATTCAGAAGCAGTATATATGATTAGCCATCCCCTGCCACGCATTGCTGTGGCCTAGTCTGTGTATATGTGCTTTAATGGAATATAGGAATGGAACAATGGACGACGAACCTGGACTACGCTTGGATGATGAGAAGATTGGGTACAGTTGTTTTTCATAATAATTGTGCATTGTAATTGCTTATTGGTAATTTATGGATAATGTGTTAAGTCAATTGTTATATGTTGTATGGAACCACTGCTGTTTCTACTGTTTTTACTGTTTGTGAACCGCTGTGAGTCGCCTTCGGGCTTGAGATACAGCGGTATATAAGCAAAGTAAATAAATAAATAAATAAATAAATAAATAAATGTGTGCTTATGTGTGTATATATGGTTATGTGCATGCATTGTAATGTTTTTTTTTTGGCTTTTAAAGTCCCTTCCACAGTGTTTTTCAGTATTTTTATGAGTGATGGTCAGTTGTTGGTCTGATACGTGTATTGTGTCCAAATTTGGTGTCAATTCGCCAATGGTTTTTGAGTTATGTTAATCCTACAAACAAACTAAATTTTTATTTACATAGATTACTAGGGCTTAAGCAACATGTGGGAGGATTTCATATTTTTCTGTGTGCTTGCCAGGAACATTTGACTGCATTCTTTGGAGAAAGAGGTCTGATTACATACGTTTTGATTGTGATATCTTGTTACAAATGCTCTTTGGAAAATTCATTGTCTCTGCTAAAACCACCTTTACTGAAGTGGCTTGGAACGGCATGGCTGCTATGACAGATTTAGATTTGACACAAGCAATAGCAGGCTGAATACATGTAGCATGGCACATTTTAGATTTTTTTTTCTTTCAGGAAGATTCAGAGCAAAAGCATAGTGAAACGCTACAATGCAGAAACTGACAGGGCTGGTGCGAAGGAAACAGCTTGCATCTATAAAGCATCCTTGTGTGCAAAATGCCATGTGTGTGGTGGGACTCAACCCTTTTCACATATCCCACTAATGTCCTGTCTTTGTAGGGATTGTGAAATCGCCTCTAGCTGGAGATTTCATTACAATGCAGTGCAGAGAGCTGTTTCAGGAAATGAATGTCGAGATAATCCCTCCATATATGATTGCCTCCAAGGTAAGAGGTTTTATGGGATGCTATGAAAAAGTCTCAGACTGGGTGGCTGGTGGCATGTTTTGCATGTATATTGGCTATTTTTCAGAAACTCCACCTTCTGTTCAGGTAGAATTTGGTAGCTCTTCTGGACTTAGCTTCCCTCTTGAGCCTCCACTTCATCTTAGGAATCCAGCCATTTAAACTTACCTGTATTTTAGGCACACTATCATTGATTTAAAATGGATGAGCTACATTGTGGGGAGAGACCCCCCCCCCCCCCCCCCCCCCCCCCGATGTACAATGTGCCTGGGTGCACCAGAAGTGATTCTACATGATTTATTTGTTTAGTGTCAAAAGCATTGCATAAATAAACAAATATAAAACTTATAAAATAGAAGGAACACAAGTGGCTAAATAATTTTAGACAAAAAATGGGCAACAGCGACCTCATTGTCTGTAGTTTTGAATAGTTCTTCCTCTGTGGATGAGGCAGGGCATTGTAGGCAAGCATACAGATGCATATGATTTTGCATTGGCTTGAGGTGGAAAATTACCTAAAAATATGACAATTCATACACACACACACACATAGAGGAGGCTCAGGAGAATAACTTTAGTTCATTCAGTGAAACTAATGGCAAAAATTCAGGAGAGAAGAAGGATATATCTTTTCCACATGGCAAATAGTAAGAACTTGCTACCAGAAGGTCTAAGTGATAGCCTCCAACTTGGATGTTTTAAAGAATGCCTGGAGAAACTCGTAGATGTTAAGACTGTCAGTGCCTGTGACACAGTTTGGCTATATGCTACCTCCAGTATCAGTTTGCAATATGGTTCCCTATACCAGTTAATGAGGAGCAGAACTGGGAGGTTACTGGTAAACTCATTTCCTACTTGATGCTTCCTACAGGCAACTGGTTGGACATTGTGGGGATAAGAGGAAGGGTTAGATCAATGATTCTCAACCTGTGGGTCCCCAGGTGTTTTGTCCTACAACTCTCAGAAATCCCAACCACTTTACCAGTTTTTTTTTTTGTCGTGTCAGGAGCGATCTGAGAAACTGCAATTCGCTTCTGGTGTGAGAGAATTGGCCGTCTGCAAGGACGTTGCCCAGGGGACGCCCAGATGATTTGATGTTTTATCATCCTTGTGGGAGGTTTCTCTCATGTCCCCGCATGAAGAGCTGGAGCTGATAGAGGGAGCTCATCCGCCTCTCCCCGGATTCGAGCCTGCAACCTGCCGGTCTTCAGTCCTGCCAGCACAGGGGTTCAACCCACTGCGCCACCGGGGGCTCCAGAAATCCCAGCCACTTTACCAGCTGTTAGGATTTCTGGGAGTTGAAGGCCAAACCATCTGAGGACCCACAGATTGAGAGCCACTGGGTTAGATGGTACTTCTGTGAATCCTAGCACTACTGTTCTTACAGCCTTAGAGACTTTAAAAGGTCATACCTTGTGTGTGTTATCCAGCCCTTAGAGTTGAATTGTTTCCCTGAAATGCTTAGTTCAAGCTATAATCTTCAGCTGAAAGTCATTGTGATGTTAGATGGTTCATTGATTACATCCACCTTGGTTAATGCATGTAGATATAGAAATGTTGGAATCACCTTGGTTTGCTATTCCAGGAAGCTGTTCGTGAGGGTTCTCCAGCAAACTGGAAGAGGAAAGAGAAATTGCCACAAGTCACAAGGACTTGGCACAATTATATGTGCACTGTGAGTATGTGCTGCTAAAGAAATTAGCTCTAGAAGTATTTTCTGCAGTAGGTGATGACACAGAGAGGCTGGGTTGTCGATTGAAGAACATGAAGGCCTTTCTGTAAAGTTTAATCTTCCTCCATGTAAATTGGTACAAATTGCACAGTTGAAGAAATGAATTTATCAGGACTGTTTGTAGCATCAATACTGCTGAGGTGACTTCAGAAAGTGGTTATGAAAGATCAACTTTAAACATTTCTTGTGTCTGAATTCTAACTTTCAAAGATGAGGAGAGAGACTTGTTGGATTGTTTGCCTCAAAGGTGCTACAAGATCTTTTTGTGTACTGATCCAGACTAATAGGCTATGCCTTTGAATTATAGCTAGATAGGTTTGTTCTCACTTTTTAGATACACTCTGGGCCAGTTGGTGTAGTAGTTTGAGTGTTGGACCAGGGCTCAAATCCCAGCCATGGAAACCTACTGGGTGACCTTGGGCAAGTCACGATCTCTCAGCCTCGAAAGAGGAAAAAGCAAATTCCCCTCTAAAGAAATCTTGTCAGGAAAGTCCTATGATTGTGTCTCACTTCTCTCAAGCTGGTCATTGACTGTAATAAAGTGAACTTGAACCCTATGATCGGTTCACCATAGAGTCACCATAAATCAAATTATTTAAAGGAACCCTGTGACAACATATATACTTCTGTGTGCTGTGTAAAATCTGGTAATGACCATACTAAAATAGCCTTCTTATTGGAGGTGGATGTACTGATGCTTGAGACGGCGTTTAATATTTATCTGCTCTCACATTGCTATCTCTTCTGATTCACTATGACATTACAAATACTTTTCCAAGTTCTTGTGGGTTTTTTCGGGCTATAGGGCCATGTTCTAGAGGCATTTCTCCTGACGTTTTGCCTGCATCTATGGCAAGCATCGCCTGCATCTATGGCAAGCATCCTCAGAGGTAGTGACCTCACTACCTCTGAGGATGCTTGCCATAGATGCAGGCGAAACGTCAGGAGAAATGCCTCTAGAACATGGCCCTATAGCCTGAAAAAACCCACAAGAACCTAGTGATTCCAGCCATGAAAGCCTTCGACAATACACTTTTCCAAGTGTTTATCTGCCTGGAATTCTCCTAAACACTTTAGGATGCCTGATACTTTTCGTTTTGATGCTATTTCACATTGCTGGCAGTGAAAACATGTTCTACCATATCTAGTTATTTTCATATGTAGATAATTAAAGCGTTTTGAAAAGGAAATCTCATAACATTACTTTAAATATGTATCTTTTCTCTTCACAGTGTGTGATTCAAGATTTTCAAGCTTCTGTCCTGCAAGTCTCTGATTCAGCATATGATGAACAGTATGTCTTTCTAAATTTAATGTCAAATTCATGGTGTCTTAACAAGTCAATCCTAGGGATTTTTATGGGGAAATATTGACAAGAAATACCATTCACTTTTGTGCATAAGAATTGCATTATAACTTTCCTTTAAAAAGTGTGGTTTCTGCTTTCAGGGTGGCTGCACAGATGCCAACTGTACATTATGAGTTTCCCAACGGTTACAACTGTGACTTCGGTGCTGAGCGGCTAAAAATCCCTGAAGGTTTATTTGACCCTTCCAATGTAAAGGTAAAACTTTCTCGGATGGTTTGTGAAAATATCTTGGACCCTAAGAGATTTACCAGAGTTTGGAAATACTGACTTCTGTGCTGTCGTACGCTGGGCCTGTGCACATGACTGTAGACAGGATATAAATTTTGTGTGCCCAATGGGACGCCGGGGCTGCCTCAGATTAAAGGCCCAAACAGAGTCTTTAGAATGCTTAAAGTAAATCCAACAAAGTTCTTTATTGATGAAAACAAACAGGTACTTTCAAGCTTTCTTAACAGTCTATTGGCTCTTGCAATCTTGTTCACTGGGAACAGGCACTATCTTCTTAACTGTAATTAACTAATGGGGAAATCCTAACTTCTAATCTGGGCAGTCTGTACTTGCCTCTGTTGACGTGGAGCCCCTGCACCCGGTACCAACTGCGTCTGGCTTCCGCAAGCGACCCTTGCCAAACAGAGCTTTGTAGACCTCCAGGTAAAAAGAAGGAGTTCAGGTTGCTGTGATGGCCAGCTGAAGTCCCTCAGCCAAGCTGTGGGGCTGAATATCTCTCCGGCCAAGCCGTAGAAGATGAAGCTTTCTACAGGAGCTACTTTGTTTTATGTCCTGTGCAAAAGGCTTCTCTGTGAGAACTGACTCAAAAAAGCTCCTATTCCCTCCAAAACTCAAAAAGGGGCGGGACCAGGGAACCTAACTATAATTGGCAGGTGGCTTACCCTATGATTGCAGCCTATAACAGGAAGCCACCCTGCTGCAAAATCCCAAGCCTGGGATTGCAAACAAACATTAACTGCAAAGCAAACAAAATAGGAGCTCCTGGTACAGCTGTACCAGCACAACTTCCATGCTAACATAAGAAGCAGCCTCACCCCTTATCTCCATTGTGTATTACAGGGGGAACTCAGAAATGTAGTATGCTGTATTACTTGTTAATAATACACTACAGAACTCTACTATCTTATGCATACCACCTTTGTAGGCTTAAACTTGAAAACAAAATTCTAGCAGTGCAAGACCCTCATCCCTACTCTTTCACAGAGGCACTAGAGCAGGCATGGGCAAATTTTGACCCTCCAGGTATTTTGGGCTTCAACTCCCACAGTTTCTAACAACCTACCAGTTGTTTGGAATGGTGGGAGTTTGAGTTCAGAACATCTGGAGGGCTGAAGTTTGCCCATGCCTACACTAGAGCAACTCCCTCTTCTGTGGGGAAGGCAAAGATTTCTAATGAAGCGTTTATACTGCCAACAGTTTCCATGTGTTCTTTACAAACGGGAGTTGGTTGCCGAGGCTGATTGCTTCGGTTGTTTATTCCCCCACACATGGCTCCAGTTGGTGGCTCTTGGCATATTGAGAATGAGGAATATTGTGTTTTGGTACTTTATTCAGTAATGTTGTTCACCCAGGATATTATTTCTTTCCCTTTAGGGTTTATCTGGCAATACAATGCTTGGTGTGAGCCATGTGGTCACAACGAGTGTCGGAATGTGTGATATAGACATCAGGCCGGTAGGTATTAGTTAATAGACATGCTAGATTAATGCAAAAATGACCTGGAATGACCTCCTTTTCACATTGATTTAGTGCTCTCGCTTATTTCGTTTCGCTTATTCACATAAGGCTTTATGTACATGCTTCACTTTCTTCTTGGTCCATGCATTGTTTGTCCCATTGAAAATATCATAAATACTTGAGTATGAGCTGAGTTTTTCACCCCTTTTTTTAGGCTGAAAAAGCCCTCCTCGGCTTATATTCAAGTCAAAGTTCTTTATCGTTTTACTCTGTTGTTGTTGTTGCTATTACATTTATTATTTTACTCTGTTTATTATTAATTTTACATTTACATTATTTTATTCTATTATTATTATTTCTTTTATTATGTTACTTTATTATTGTTATTATTACAGTTTTATGTAAATATTCAAAAACATTTAACCTACTGATGCCTTAGTTAATTAATTTTTTTGGTATCTATTTTTATTTTGAAATTTGCCAGTATCTGTTGCATTTCCCACCCTTGGTTTATACTCAAGTCAATACATTTCCCCAGTTTTTTGTGGTAAAATTAGGTGCCGCGGCTTATATTCGGGTTGGCTTATACTCAAGTATATGCGGATAATAGGTTTCACAATTGTTTACAGTTTCACATATGTGCAGATATAGGAGCCATATTGTACTTAACCTTTCAGCCTGTGAAGATTCTCAGGGTAGTTAGCGCTCATTCATTAAACACATATTATATGAATTTAAGGGGGGGGGGGGAATCTTAATTCTAGATCTAGAAAGAGAAGCAGCAAACCCAGAAATAAAGCTGCTAGGATATCCGTAAAATACAGCCAGTTTCTGTCTCAATTAGAATGCAGACTTGGCAGATAAAACTAGGAATGAGCGAAATTAATAGGTATTAGCTATGCTTGATTAATTGTCCATACTTTCACTCAAATTGTGAATTTCCATGCACCAGAATATTTTGAATCAGGAAATCTCTAATTCAGCAGAAGTATAGACTTCCTGTATTCAACATGTGTTTTATTGAGAAGTAGAAAGGACTCTGTTCTCTTGATTTCTGAACTAGAGCTTGCAGGTTTTAAATGTATTAGTGCATCCGATACACTCCTGGGTGTTGTTTTTATCAGCAAGGGATGGCTGAGATAAATTTACGGGGATGATTTCGTATTTTAACCATATTACACAGATTTATGTAACATTAAAGTAGTGAGATACGGAAGGCTCTGAACAGACTGCGCTCTGGCACCATGAGATGCAGAGCCAACCTTAAGAAATGGGGCCACAAAGTGGAGTCCACACAATGTGGGTGTGGAGAAGAGCAAACCACCGGCCACCTATTACAATGCAATCTGAGCCCTGCCACATGCACAATGGAGGACCTCCTTATAGCAACACCAGAGGCACTCCCAAGTGGCCAGCTACTGGTCAAAGGATATTTAGTATAATGCCAAGTTTTTAAACTTTGTGTTTTTAAATACATTACAGCTGTACCATCAATTCGCTTCTGATATGATAAATAAATAGTGAGATCTACAAATAAATATAGGTACTTACAGTTAAAATATATAAAATTAAAAAAAACTACTAGGTAAAAAAAACATCAAATTTTCTTTTTGAGCTTGGAAGTTTATAAGGCTATATTAAAAATGTAATAATATTTTGAAATTATAAGTCTAGTTCAAATTAGTTCTTAAAACTAGAGCAAGTCCAAACCAAAAATAAGTTCAAGTTCAAATCCCCAATTTCACATTGTGGTGCAGTGGTTCTCAACCTGTGGGTCCCCAGATGTTTTGGCCTTCAACTCCCAGAAATCGTAACAGCTGGTAAACAGGCTGGAATTTCTGGGAGTTGTAGGCCAAAACACCTGGGGACCCACAGGTTGAGAACCACTCTTTTCGTGTGTGAAGGACTTTCTCTATCCTGTGGCCAAATGTGTAAACCTTTCTGCTTTCAGCTTATATGCACACATGTGATTTTATTGCTTTCTATGTTAAAAAATATAATTGTAACTTATTCTGTAAACTGCTGCCTCCTTTCTCCAGGGCCTGTATGGTAGTGTGATTGTAGCAGGAGGCAATACACTACTGCAGAGCTTTACAGACAGACTGAATAGAGAACTCTCCCAGAAAACCCCTCCAGTAAGTTTGAATTAACGCGATATTTCACTGCTGGAACTGACTTGTTAAACATAAATCAGAGATTGTGTTCTGATCCTTGATGGGCTTGTGAATTGCCCAAGTGTGTTCAGTTTTGTGCTTCACGTGTGTGTAGAGAAGTTTGCACATGTTGCTCTTTCACACACAGACTCAGTTCAGGCACAGGGTTGTGTACCTGCCAGAATGAATGTTGAACTTAGATATTTCCTCAGTTCCTGGATTTTCAAACCAGGAAGCTGTGACTTGAACACTTCCTACAAACCAGGATTGTGAATCACAGTGTATGCAGGTCCAGGCGTTGAACTGGAAGACATTATTATAGTTTAATTGATTTTATGTGGATTTTATTATGTGTTTTAACTGTTTTTAATTGATGTGTGTATGTTGTGGCATCTAATTGTTGCCAGTCTATACGCCGCCCTGAGTTGCCTTCAGGCTGAAAAGGGTGGGGTAGAAGTGCAATCAATCAATCAATCAATCAATCAATAAAAATAAAAATAAAATAAAATTAATATGCAATATCTCTATTAATGATAATCCCCTGGTGATTCATATAAGCATTGTGACAGTTCTGTGTGCCTAAGGAGCCCCATTTGAAGGGGCTTGTCAGAAATGATTTCCAATTTAATTAATATGAAGCAGGTGATGGAATGACTACTGTTCTTCAAAAGGAAAAATGGTCTTGCAAAGCATATATGATATCATAACATATATGATAAAGCTACTACTTGCTTGGTCCTCTGATCTTTATCACATTAAAATCTCCAGTTTCTGATGGCAAGTCTTGTTTAAGCCTTTTAAAAAGTTGTTTATTACAGCATACCATAGAATAAGGCCTAGATAAATGTTTGTTTATCTTAGAGCAGTGGTTCTCAACCTGTGGGTCCCCAGATATTTTGGCTTTCAACTCCCAGAAATCCTTAACAGCTGGTAAACTGGCTGGGATTTCTGGGAGTTGTAGGCCAAAACACCTGGAGAACCACAGGTTGAGAACCGTTGTCTCAGAGGCTTGTGAATGTCCGTGGAAATGGAAGTTTCTCATTCATGACAATGTCCTGATCTTGGAAAAGTGCTATTCAAATGTTTTATATTGAAGGTGCTATGCTGGGAAAGTTAGTACTGAGGTCTTTTAGAAAAATTAACAATTTGTTTGCTTTTGATTGTCTGAAAACCCCATTATGAGTTCTTCTTTCCCCTCTCCACCAATAATCTCATTTGATTTCAGAGCATGCGACTGAAGTTGATAGCAAACAACACAACAGTCGAGCGAAGGTTTAGTTCCTGGATTGGAGGCTCCATTTTGGCTTCTCTGGTTAGTACATTAACCAGGCTTGGCTGGTGGGGCTGCTTCGAAGGGGATGTGGAAGGCTGTTGGTGAGACAAATGTTTGAAAAGGAGAAATGAGATAGAACAGAATATGGATGCACAACTGGACTCATCTTGGTGGCAGCTTTTCTGTAGACATTCGATTAACCACAGAAAGTTGCAATAGATAGTGTTATAGGCTAAACAAAGGGCAAGTAGGCCTTTGGTATGATCCAGTATAATTTCTATGTTAAGATACACCTAGCTTGTCCTCTGAAAAGTAGAATAGGAATGACCATAAATTACATTCTATGTTAGCCATAATAGAAACTAAGTGCAGAATTGAACTATTTGTTGTCATGAATCGACTTTTAAATTATTTCACTAACTTTTTGCTGGTGAATTCTAGTTTAATGTTGCACAAGGCACTGCTTCCTTTCATCTGTCCTAAACCTCCTGCTGCTTTCAATGCATGCCCCTCAATTCTAGTGTTACAACAGAGGAAGGAAAAATCCCAAAAGTATACATTTCTGACAGATTTATGCAGATATTCTTGAGAATTGCTTCAGACTGCTTGATCAACAAATCAACCCTTTCTGTGCCAACATTATTGTTAGTGAAAACTACCCTAAAATATACAGCGGAGCATCCAAAAACGAACAGGGTACAAAAGTTGAGCATCAGCTCACTAGCAAGCAGAGTGTGAAATGCTGTGTAATGTGGTTGTAAAGAATTCAGAGTTTAGGAGGCAAACATTCAGAGTCAATCTTAAAAAATCACAAAAGGTCTATTTACAATAATAAGAAATAACTGCATTTCTTAATAGTAAAGAACTGGGTCTGAGTTACTCTTGACCCCCATCTCTTCTAAAGTTTCAAAGAGAGGAAATAAACAGCAATCACTACATCTCTCTGACACACAAGCAGAGAGAGATCTCAAAGCACATAGCACATATTCTCCATACTAAAGTGTAAGAAATCAGAAGTCAAGTTCAAAGGGAAACCTTTAGTCTATACTAAACTAACTGTTCCTTGTTGAGGACTTGAGTCTTGGGCAGTGTGGGGTTGAATTCCAACATCTTTTGAATTGTGATTTTTGTTTTTCAGGGTACCTTCCAGCAGATGTGGATCTCCAAGCAAGAATACGAAGAAGGAGGCAAGCAATGTGTGGAAAGAAAATGCCCATGAATCCTGTGCTGCAGGAGTTTGCCTTCCCTAGTTCTTCTAATATTTGATAGCTTTAGTATGCTCAGGAATTGAAGTTTTGTCTCTTTTGTAGCAATTCTATACTTTTTGTGCATTCTCTTTTAACAAACCATAGGTATTTTAAAAGTCCAGACTGCTTCTGTCACCACAAATGGATGCCCGTATCCTTGGTAAATGCAATAATTCCTAATTTTTATATAATTTTTTATAGAATATCTATTTTCTGCAAACCCCCTACACAACCCTTTTTTTCCTGGGAACTAAGGTATAAAGTATGGATGTAACTTCTTGCCTTTCAACAAAATTTCTAAGAAATGTGTCTATCTTCAGACTAGTCTTCCATGTTACGTTGGCCTTAATAAATTCCTCTAGTTTGTCTTAGAGGCTCTTCTCTTTTACAGTAATCCTTCACTTTCTTTTGCTACTGTGTAGTCCAAGAGGTTGTCGTTTTTTCTCTCGTGGATATTATGGTTTTCCAGTCACCCTATTTAACAGGCTCACAATAGTGGATGATGTCGCTCTAGCCAAGGAAACCTATACCTATTGAGAAAGCTGTTACTCACTCAGCAGTACAACATATCGGAGATCCTTTTGAATAGGTACCGATCTGTTCAATAAAGCAATCATGGCATCCTCCGCCTGTATTATAAGTAACTTAAACCAGAGTCAGCATGTACTGGCTCTGAAGCCATATTTATTCCAGGCCTAGATGAACAGTTATATTTATTTATTTACAAAATTTATGTTTTGCCCTTTTCACCCCGAATGGGACTCAGGGCAGATCACAGAACACATACATGGCAAACATTCAGTGCCGTTAAACAGACAGAGCAGACAACAGATCAAGGTATTATGTTGGCATTTTCCTCAACTTTGATGTTCTGGAGGTTGTGCTTGATTCCGGCCACAGGGGGGTGCTATCGCTCCACCCTCTATGATGAAAAGCCTTGATCATGGACTTCCTTCTCCTTTTGATCGCTGGCATTTTCTGGTATTTATTTTATGGTGCTGTAAAATGCCTCCCCGCTTAGTAAAGTTAAAGGTTTTCCCCTAACATTAAGTCCAGTTGTGTCTGACTCTGGTGGGTGGTGCTCATCTCCATTTCTAAGCCGAAGAGCCGGCGTTGTCCATAGACACCTCCAAGGTCATGTGGCTGGCATGACTGCATGGAGCACTGTTACCTTCCCACAAGAGCGGTGCCTATTGATCTACTCATATTTGCATGTTTTGGAACTGCTAGGTTGGTAGAAGCTGAGGCTGACAGTGAAAGCTCGCACCGCTCCCCGGATTCGAACCTGTGACCTTTCAGTCAACAAGCTCAGTGTTTTAACCCACTGCGCCACTGGTGGCCCTGCTTAAGCGGTGCCTAATTCTTCTACTCATAGCTCACATGTTTTTGAACTGCTTAGGTGGACAGTGAGCTGGGCTGAAAGTTGAGGGCTCACCCCGACCCTGGCTTCGGACTGCCAATCTTTTAATCGGTGCGATCTATTGTTGCTGGTGATTAACCAGCTGTGCTAAAGCCCAACCCCTATAATTCTTGATCTGATCATTATAGGGAAGTATAGAAAACCCTGAAAAGTACTCCAGCCTCTAGAGACTAGTTTAATATAAGAACTGAGCTTTGATGGAATGCTTAGAACACTTTGGTTATGAGGATGTAATTGGACTTAAAATATTCACAGCCCTTATTTCATTAAATAGGAGTGCAAAGCTGATAAATGAACCAGCAATAAAAAGTCTGGATGAACAGAATTCAGCAAGAAGACCAAAAAACTTTATTTTCATTAAAATTATTTGGAAGGAAGTTCCCAAATCACGTGTAACTATTTACAATTGATTACCAGATAACTTGTATCACATTCCCAGACAGTGTGATAGTATTATTCCTGCCAGCTTTATCAAATATTGAACTCTTCCGATCTCATGTTAACTTTGAGTCTGTGTTTCCTGAGGAGGGAATTTTTTAAGTAAGAGCTGCTCCGTCTTTCTCTGCAAGTTTTTCTTTCGGGCTTCTTGGCGCAGATATTTTTCCAATCTGAGCCTGTGGGAGAGAAACAGTCACGACAAGTTGAAATGAGAACAAAACCATTTTTTCCCTACGATTCTAAGCAACAGGCAAGATATCAAATATTCTGTTTTGAAGGCCCCCTTCTACCTTACCTGATAAAAGGTTTCACGTTTGGCAAATAGTAGAATCGCTTCCTCTTGTGCTTTGTGTTCAGGTACCAGGGCATGGGCCATTCTCTGAAAGTGTACCTGTCAGACATAGAAACGGGAAGCTTGTGACTTGTCCTGTGGCACTTTTTCAAGTGGAAAAATGCTTGGAAGGTTAAGACAAATTTCTACTGTAATAATGACATTTCTCACTTTTCTTCTCAATTTAAGACAATTAACATAGGGTTTTTCTTAGCAAGACCTATCCGGAGATTAAGCATTGGCTTCTCTAAGGCTGAGAGTGTGTGACTTGACCAATGTTACTCACCAGGAATGGAGATCAGAACCTTGGTCTTTTGGGAATTATAGTCAGACACTCAAATCTCTATACAATATCACTTTTCACTCTACAAGAGCTATTGTAAATACAGTTGTCACTCTGTATCCATGGATTCCGCATGCAGAGATGGCTTGAAAATATTTAAACTTTCCCTTCCAAAAGCAAATCTTAATTTTGCCCTGTGTTGAAGACTTTTGTAGCCTCCTGCTTTTTCACAGATCCCCAATCTCTCTCCGGCACTTTGTATTAATATAAGGGTTTTATTATACCACTGTATATAATGGGACTTCAGCATCCATGGATTCTGGTATCTATAAGGCAGTGTTTCTCAACCCTCCTAATGCTGCGACCCCTTAATACAGTTCCTCCTGTTGTGGTGACCCCCAACCATAAAATTATTTTCATTGTTACTTCATAACTGTAATTTTGTTACTGTTATGAATCGTCATGTAAATATCTGATATGCAAGATGTATTTTCCCATGATCAACAGAAAATACTGGAAGGGTTTGGTGGGCAGTGATCTTGAGTTTGGGAGTTGTAGTTCACCTACATCCAGAGAGCACTGTGGACTCAAACAACGATGGATCTGAACCAAACTTGGCAAGAATACTCAATATGCCTAAATGTGAACACTAGTGGAATTTGGGGGAAATAGACCTTGACATTTAGGAGTTGTAGTTCCTGGGATTTATAGTTCACCTACAATCAAAGAACAGTCTGTGTCCCACCAATGATAGAATTGGGCCAAACTTCCCACACAAAACCCCCATGACCAACAGACAATATTGTGTTTTCTGATAGTCTTTGGCGACCCCTCTGACACCCCTTCCCGACCCCCAGGTTGAGAAACACTGCTATAATGGCTCCTGGAACCAAACCTCAGTGCATAAGTAGGAGCTACTGTATTTTCTGTCTTACTACACATGGTTGCCATAACTCTGAAACATCACCATACCAAATAAGGCGGCCTAAAAAGTCGTGTCTCCATTCGCCTGGTCTCTCATTCTCCTGGCCTGTCTGTAGGAGCCGCAAAGCATCTTCTCTTTCCTGAATAACACGATCCATTCTGTCCATTGAATCCTTTACCTGAGGAAAACAAAAGTAACTTTTGCCTCTGAAGCCACCACACCAAAGATACTGAGCCCAGGGGAATTCTATGCCGATTAATATGACAGATCGGTGGCGCAGTGGGTTAAACCCCTGTGCCGGCAGGACTGAAGACCGACAGGTCGCTCCTGACACGACAAAAAAATAAATAAATGACAGATCTTTTCCTTGGAACATGCTCGAAATCCCTCCCTCTGCTGTTTAAGTCCAGAGTCAGTGCCACTGAAAAACCTCAAGGGCAAGGCTATATTAGAACAGTTGAAGAACTTTAGTGATAAAGACATTTTAAAGGCAGCCTTGGAAAAAGTCAGATCAATGTTTTAAACAGTTTTAGGAAGGTTTAATGTACTATAAAGCAAAAAGGAAGTTACCTTTTCTAATCGCTCTGGGCTTGGCATTGGCAGCCTCTGTCGTATTGCTTCTTGTTCCAATGTTAAAAGCATGTTTCGCTCTTTTAGAAGGACATACCTAAGTCAAAGAGCATATTGGTAAGTAACAATGGAATTATGAAACGAGTCCATACGTTTTAGTTCTGTGCAAGTAAATTGATGTATTTTTACAGCATTGGTGCCTACCAAGTGACAAAACTGAAACATAGACCTATTAGACAGTTCTGTTTAAATCTAGTAGTCAAACAGTTGGTTAGTCCAAAACTTGTATGTAAAATTCTGCCTGGCTACCATAACCCACTGCTGGGCCATCATTGCATCTTTGAATTGTAACATTACAATGACACAGGGACAGGAGGACCCACAGGTAGCAAACAAAATTCCTAGAGAATAAATATGTCACAATAAACTACTGCAGAATAAATATGTCCCTTATTCCCATGTCCATATTAAATGCTCAGAATTTCTTTTCTTAAACATGTACCATATATATTGAAAAAGCTCCCTCAGCTTATACTCAAGTCAAAGTTATTTATTTTACACTGCTTTTATTATTACATTTATTATTTTATATTTATTATTACATTTATTATTTTTCTCTATTATTACATTTTATTATTGTTATCACATTTATTATTTTACTGTTTATTAGTATTATTAAATACTAATAATAATACTAATTAGTATTATTTTTGATGTTTAGCTGCAAAAGCCGGGTTGCAGCTAAACATCAAAAAAACCAAGATTATGGCAACAAGAATGATTGACAACTGGGAAATAGAGGGAGAAAATGTGGAGGCCGTGACAGACTTTGTATTTCTAGGCGCAGAGATTACTGCAGATGCAGACTGTGGCCAGGAAATCAGAAGACGCTTACTTCTTGGGAGGAGAGCAATGTCCAGTCTCGATAAAATAGTAAAGAGTAGAGACATCAGACTGGCAACAAAGATCCGCCTAGTCAAAGCCATGGTATTCCCTGTAGTTACCTACGGATGTGAGAGCTGGACCTTAGGGAAGGCTGAGCGAAGGAAGATCGATGCTTTTGAACTGTGGTGTTGGAGGAAAGTTCTGAGAGTGCCTTGGACTGCGAGAAGATCCAACCAGTCCATCCTCCAGGAAATAAAGCCCACTGCTCATTGGAGGGAAGGATACTAGAGACAAAGTTGAAGTACTTTGGCCACATCATGAGGAGACAGCAAAGCCTAGAGAAGACAATTATGCTGGGGAAAGTGGAAGGCAAAAGGAAGAGGGGCTGACCAAGGACAAGATGGATGGATGGCATCCTTGAAGTGACTGGACTGACCTTGAAGGAGCTGGGGGTGGTGACGGCCGACAGGGAGCTCTGGCGTGGGCTGGTCCATGAGGTCACAAAGAGTCGGAGACGACTGAACGAATGAACAACAACAAAGTATTATTATAAGAATACATAAGCACATTTACACTGAAGGTTAGAATAATGGTTTAATCAGAGTTGGAAAATCTTATCTTAAATTACAGTTTCAAAAACACTTCACCTACTGATGCCTCAGTTAATTTTATTTGTATCTATTTTTATTTTAAAATGCTGCTGCATATTTATTATTTTTCTCTATTATTACATTTATTATTTTTCTCTATTGTTATTACATTTTATTATGGTTATCACATTTATTATTTTACTGTTTATTAGTATTATAAGAATACACAAGCACGTTGACATTGAAGGTTAGAATAATGGTTTAATTAGAGTTGGACAATCTTATCTTAAATTACAGTTTCAAAAACATTTCACCTACTGATGCTTCAATTAATGTAATTTTATTTGTATCTATTTTTATTTTGAAACGCTACTGCATTTTCCACCCTCGGCTTACACTCGAGTCAATATGTTTCCCTGGTTTTCTGTGGTAAAATTAGGTGCCTCGGCTTATATTCGGTTTGGCTTATACTCAAGTATATACAGTATGTGTAATTTTCCTCCATTGTTTTGTCCCAACTTTACATCAAGCACCCTCCAACATAATTGCCCTTTGTATTCCACATTTAGGCCAGTTACGCATTCATCTTCTTCCCTCGGTTTCTTAATCAGCTCCATCACTTTCACAGACACAGACACCCTTAAAGATCTCCTGCTTAATTAGTTTCCTCTTTTTCTCATTTTCCTATATCCTTATTACTCAGCCCCTACTGTTATTCTGTGAAGCTCCTTTCTCAGTGACGTATTCTTCAACGTCCTGAAGACTTCTTACACCATAGCTTTCCTGTATTGTGGGATTTCAGTCTGGCCTAGTGTTATTTTAATCACAGACAAACTGAGATTACTTTTACAGGTTACTTGTCCCTCATGGAATCTGGAGAACTATCATAGGAATCTAGCCAATCAGTAGTAAAACCTTAATTGCCACAGCTGCAATGCAATATAGATCCTGAAAATTGTCATTAAGTACAAGATTACATTCTTGAAATATCTTTCTTTCCATTCAGGATGAGAAGTACAGTAACCTTATAAAGACATAAGCTATTCAAGTCAATGAAATAGGCTGACCAAAGTTTGTGCAAATCTTCACTGCTCTTTCCTCGAAGCTGTTCCATTGTCCAGGAATCCCCTGTGGAAACCAGAATGCATATCAGAAAACGAGGCACTTTTCTGGAGATTTAATGTTTTGATCATTTACTTTCACTATTGATTCTAGGGTAACAGCAGCTATGTTAATAAAATGTCCAAAGACTGCCTTGCACGTCACACTCTTTGTGGTCAATTCTATCTATCATCCCCATAAAATCTTCACTGGGACAAATGAACACATGATTTGTGCCACAGAATCTTACAAGCTGGTTTAAAGTACTGGTTTTCATGTTTTATGATCAACTGCTATTTAGTTTACTTATTCACTGTTTGCGGGGAAATTACTTTATGAACTGCTCTGAAAAAATAGATGATTTATTTATTTAAATCTGTATATTCCAGCTCTTTTCCATGAGGGCATAAACAGAAGGGCTCATCCAGGCACTAATCAATCTCAGACTTCAACATATGCATCATGCATTAGCAGATTTGTTCCCAGAATCATAATTTTAAGAGAAAATCCATTTTCTACCCACTCCATTGCCATCATATTCTTCTCGTCCAAAAAACCCTATTCCTAAGGGCGGGGGGAGAGCCACTTCATTCACCCACAAAAGCTTTCCAATAAAAACATATACATCTGAATAAAGGAAGTCTGGAGAACAAGCCCTATGAAGAGCGGCTTAAAGAGCTGGGCATTTTTATCCTGAAGAAGAGAAGGCTGAGAGGAGACATGATAGCCATGTATAAATACGTGAGGGAAAGTAATGGGGAGAAGGAAGTAGGCTTGTTTTCTGCTTCCCTGGAGATTAGGACGTGGAGCAATGGCTTCAAACTACAAGAAAGGAGATTCCATCTGAACATTAGGAAGAACTTCCTGACTGTGAGAGCTGTTCAGCAGTGGAACTCTCTACCCTGAAGTGTGGTGGAGGCTCCTTCTTTGGAAGCTTTTAAACAGGCTCGATGGCCATCTATCGGGGGTGCTTTGAATGCAATTTTCATGCTTCTTGGCAGAGGGTTGGACCGGATGGCCCATGAGGTCTCTTCCAAGTCTTTGATTCTAAGTGCAGCCTTGCATAAAATACCTTTCTTGATTATCCAATACTGTATGATCACTTTTAAAAAAAATTAAATAAAAACAATCCATAACAAGTTCAGAGTATCTCACCAGATTTGACTTCGTTCTTTCCCCAGTTTTTAGGATCATCAAAAAATTCTTCCAGCCCATTTCGTGCCAAAGAAGTATGAAGGGAGGTACTGGGAAGGAGCACTTTCATTTTGCAAACATTCCTATGCAAATCATCAAAGATTATTCTGAAGGAAAACAAAACAGACAGTCATATAAAACCAATATTCCTCCACAAAAGTACATATTACTCCCTCACAAGGATTTTCAGCCAGGTTCTTGTCTAAAAGAAAAACTCAACAAGGAAGCTTCTACTTTATATCATCCCACAGATACATAATCTCCACTTGCTTCTGACAAAACAATCCACATTATCTGCTTTGAACCAGATCATATGAGTCTACAATTCCATATAATCCAGTCCAAAGCACATAATCTGGATTTTATATGGCAGTGTAGAGGGGGCCTCACTCTACTTTATCTGCGTTTCTTTTTTTCTTTTTAAAAAAAGGCATCTACAGAATTTAGAATATGTTTCCTTGAAACTAGAGCCTTAAAAATTACTCCAGAGCATGAAAAAGTTACTTTTTTCGAACAACACCCAGAATAGCTGAGACGCCTTCTACACTGCCATATAAAATCCACATTATCCACTTTGAACTGGATTATATAGCAGTGTAAGGTAAGGTAAGGTAGTCCCCTGACATTAAGTCCAGTCATGTCTGACTCTGGGGTGTGGTGCTCATCTCCATTTCTAAGCCGAAGAGCCAGCGTTGTCCGTAGACACCTCCAAGGTCATGTGGCCGGCATGACTGCATGGAGTGCCGTTACAGTGTAGAGTCATATAATCCAGTTCAAGGCAGATAATGCGGATTATTTGCTTTGATAATCTGGATTATGTGGCAATGTAGAAGGGGCCTAAATCAGGATGGTCTTGTATTAATTCCACAGTCACTTATTGCAAGCTCTGGCTGCATCTACACTGTAGAATTAATGCGGTTTGATATCTGCTCTGTAGTTTTCCGCCTGAATGGCGCCTACCTGGAAGAAGACGAGGCCTTGCAAGCTGCTCCCGCCAAGCTCAAGACAAACTGTCTGCAAAGCGCCGCCATGACACTTCCCGGCTCCCACAATGCTCAGCGGCGTCCTTGGATCTCAGTGAACACATAGAAACAGGAAGAAAAGGGTGACCACACCAAAGATGGCGCCGGCGCGTTCTCCCCATTGGCTTGAATGACTTCCTCCGCTTAACCTTGCCAATCCGAAAGATGGCGGCTATGAGGGAGGAAAAAGTGCCCATACTAAAGATGGCGCCGGCGCGTTCTTCCCATTTGCTTGAATGACTTCCTCCGCTTAACCTTGCCAATCCGAAAGATGGCGGCGATGAGCCTGCTGCTTCGGTCTGCGGCTGCTTTGGCGGCGCGCCGCAGCTCTCCGGCCTCGTCGCTTTGGGGTCGCCTCCCTCTGCTGGGCCGCTCAGGAGCCACCGGTGGGGAGCCTCAAGGCGGGAGGGTTTTTGGAAGGTTTACTAGGGATTGACCTTGGCCTCAACACCAGGCCTGGCCCAACTTGGGCCTTCCCTCCAGGGGTTTTGGGATGCGGTGTTATCTGTACGCGGATGATGTCCAACTCTGTCACTCCTTTCCACCTGCTACTAAGGAGGCTGTCCACGTCCTGAACCGGTGCTTGGCCGCTGTGACGGTCTGGATGAGGGCGAACAAATTGAAATTGAATCCAGACAAGACAGAGGTACTCCTGGTCAGTCGCAAGGCCGAACAGGGCATAGGGTTACAGCCTGTGTTGGATGGGGCCGCACTCCCCCTGAAGACGCAGGTTCGCAGCTTGGGTGTGATCCTGGATTCATCGCTGCGCCTGGAACCCCAGGTTTCGGCGGTGACCAGGGGAGCATTTGCACAGCTAAAGGTTGTGCGCCAGCTGCGCCCGTACCTTGGGAAGTCTGACTTGGCCACGGTAGTCCACGCTCTGGTTACATCTCGTTTAACGTGCTCTACGTGGGGTTGCCTTTGAAGACGGCTCGGAAGCTTCAAATGGTCCAGCGTGCAGCAGCCAGGTTGCTAACAGGAGTGGCGTTCAGGGAGCACACAACTCCTCTGCTGCGCCAGCTCCACTGGCTGCCAGTTTGCTACCGGGCCCAATTCGAAGTGCTGGCTTTAGCCTATAAAGCCCTAAACAGTTCTGGCCCAGCCTACCTATCCGAACGCATCTCTTCCTACGAACCCTCCAGGAAGTTAAGATCATCTGAGGAGGCCCTGCTCTCGATCCCGTCTGCTTCGCAAGCACGCTTGGCGGGGACGAGAGACAGGGCCTTCTCTGTGGTGGCCCCTCGGCTGTGGAACTCCCTGCCTAGGGATATTAGATCAGCCCCCTCCCTCCTGACCTTTCGTAAGAGAGTGAAAACCTGGCTCTTCAAGCAGGCATTCGGAACCCCGGAATAGTCAAGCTTGAGATGGAGAATGACCCAGGAACGGCCAAGACGATGAAACGGATGAGGATTGGATTGAGAGGATATAGCTCTTTTTAAATTGTTATTGCACTGTCTTTTTTGTCTAAATGCACTTAATTGTTTTTGCTTTTGTATTGTATTGATGGCATCGAATTGTGCCGATATGTAGACCGCCCTGAGTCGCCTGCGGGCTGATATGGGCGGGATATAAGTGATGTAAATAAATAAATAAATAAATAAATTTTGGACTCCAACTCCCACAATCCCTAACAGCCGGAGGGAAGGCCCAAGTTGGCCCAGGCCTGGCCCAAGAGAACACCTACCTTGTTAAATCAGATGCACCTGCATTTTGAAAATAACTAATTTGAATGTCTATCTCTTTCACTTTACAGTCCCGGTGCGTCATGGCAGTGGCGGGAAAAGGATGTTCATCATCAACACAACGAAATTTTACGACACACGGTTCCTGAACTTGCTGGTGAGTTTGTATTCGCCTTGGGAATCATGCTACGTAGCACACAAGGATTTTAGATGTATTTATCATGGCCTCCGTAGGTTGATTAATATTGTGGCATCATCCCATATCATTGACATTGTTAGGTATGGTTCATGACAGATCTATAATTCTACTTACTTACTTACTACTTAGGCAATCCCTCGTAGGATAATCCTCCAGGATGGTTCTTGACCTGCATCTTTGCCCGCAGTGAGGGCATTGGTTTCCAGGTGGAAGGTAGTCCTGTTGAGGTTAGCTTGGCACGTTTCTCTCTTTCGCCCCTTATTTGTGCCTCTTCAAATTCTGCAGCACTGCTGGTCACAGCTGACTTCCAGCTGGAGGGCTCACGGGTTTCCCAGTTCTCAGTGTCTATGCCAGAGATTTTAAGGTTGACTTTTTAAAAATATATTTTTATTGTTTTATCATAGTTATTACATTTGTTATACATTTGTTTATAGCAGTTACATATTATTCAACACACTCTTTAACATATAATCTTATTATTCTGCTTGACCATTTTTTATTTTTTCCCACCACTGTGCTCCCCTCCCCCCATCTCAAGCCACAACTTTTACATATCATCTGTCCAAAATCTCAATTCTTCTTGTGACTGTAACTTTCCTTCTTTATTTTTTAAACCATTTACAACAAATTTTCCCCATACATCATCAAAATCACTTTGTTTCCATATACGTTTTTAAACTTTTAATATACATGTCAGTTTATCATTTATTGCCAGTTTCCATGCTTCCTTGTACCACTCCTCTATTTGTATATTTATTAAGGTTGACTTTGAGCCCATCTTAAAATCCCCTTTCCTGCCCACCAACATTCCGTTTTCCATTCTTGAGTTCGGAGTAGAGCAACTGCTTTGGGAGACGGTGGTCAGGCATCCGGACAGTCCAGCAGAGTTGATGGCGGAGGACGATCACTTCAATGCTGGTGGTCTTTGCTTCTTCCAGCACGCTGACATTTGTCTGCTTGTCTTCCCAAGAGATTTGCAGGATTTTCCGGAGGCAGCACTGATGGAATCGTTCTAGGACAGAGATGGGCAACCTTTTGAGCTTGGTGTGTCAAAATTTGCCAAAAACCTGAGCATAACTTGGGTGGGGTGTCAACTTTGAGAAAAAACCCCCATAATTTTGCAATATTTATAGTTTAAGTAAGAAAAATGTATATTCTATGCTGAGTTATGGAGTGAACAATGCTCAAACGTGCAGATGTTAAATTTGTAGAGCCTTTTACAAATTTAAGGATGGAATTAGATTGGCTCTTATAAGGTGTACTTCTCTGTATGCATGTGGCCGCATGTCATCAAAAATAGCCATGCGTGTCAGTGCTGACACATGTGTCATAGGTTCACCATCACGGTTCTAGGAGATGCACGTGACGTCTGTAGACTGTCCATGTCTCGCAGGCGTATAGCAGGGTTGGGAGGATAATAGGTTTATAAACAAGCACCTTGGTATCCCTACAATTGTGCTCATACTAAGTTTTACTACAGGGTAAATTATACTTTTTGCAAAAGTTCCACTGCACCATTGCTGCTAGCCTGTTGTGACGTTCAGTATATTCAATCTGGGCTATTTTCTTGCAACCGCAAATTTCTGTTATTCTTTTTCTTACCTGCGTCTCCTCATGGCTCAAGGTGGGTCACAGCACAGTCAGAACACACAAACATTACAGATATTTCATAAACACACATGTTTAAATGTAGTTCTATAAATGATACATATTGAAATGTATTTCTATAATATAGTAATGGCTCATCCTTGTAGCTGGAGGTTCATCCACTGCGGGGTTTCCTAAGAGATAAGTCACCATTGGCTTTAGCACCAGCAAAAATAATACATTAAACCTCTTCTTCTCATACTATACACTTCTTTGTGCATACATTGTTTTGTAGGATGCTTGCTGTAAAGCGTGCCTGTTCTTTCTTGGCATCCTTGCCATAAATCTGGGAAGGCGAAATAAACAGCTTCCCTAAGTGAATTTATCTATCCCACCGAGGTTCCCTGTCTTGCCTGCCATGGGTCCTAACAAGGCCCATTCCCAACCTGAATTCAGAGGGATTCTGCCATTGGCCTTTCCCATTTGGAAGGCTCAATTTTCAGACTCGAGATAAGAGTTGGTTTCTTCTCTTTCGCAACCTTTGCAATAGGATGAGGTATGAATGATATTATTCTTTCCAGGTGTAGATTGTAGGAGGCCTTCACTTGCGGGGAATGGAATGACTTCCCTCTTCTCCACTTCCCACATTAGGTAAAGCCAGCTTTCCTGGACAATTGGGAAAAATATAGGCCTATCCTTAAGATCCTCCAGCCCATGGAGTGATGGGGAGGGAGATCGTCCAACCCTCTGGTCTAAACAGGGCATGAGCAGATCAGAAGTTTGTTGGGAGTTCAGTTCAAGGAGAAAGACTGATTCTAATGACAGATCAATGTGTTTTTTTTAACAAACATGGGCTTGTGGTATCTGAAGGGTTATTTGGATTCTGATCACATTTATCTGAGAGGGGAAAATCCCAAATAGTTTAGATTTCCTGCTTGCAGAAGAAAATAAAAGTGCTGGGGCTTGATGACAATCTAGGATACGGTATATATTGTCACATAATGATATTAGTTTTCCTTTTCTCTAAACAGCGGTTCTATGTTTTGTTAACTGGCATTCCAGTAGCTGTATTTATAACACTTGTCAACGTTTTTATCGGTGAGTATTTTTCCATGTTTTGAATTACTTAGAATTATTCATGTAAAGTACTCTTAAGCAATTCATGCCATTTATACTCTTTCTTTGAAAGGGAGATATTTTATCTGACACCCCTTCTACACTGCTTTATATCCCAGGATCTGATCCTAGATCAGGTATGGGAAACGCAGACCCGGGGGTCAGATGTGGCCCTTTGGGCTCTTTTCTTAGGTCCTCTCTTATCATTCTATCCTTCCTTCCTTCTCTCTTTCCTTCTTCCCTCCCTTCCTTACCTTCATCTTTCTACCTCCTTCCCTCTGTGTCTTTCTCCTTCCTTCCCTTTTGTCTTTCCTTCCTTCTCTCTTTCCTCCCTCACTCCATTCCCTTCCACCCACCCATCCTTCCTTCCATCCTTTTCCCTTCCTTTCTTCTCTTTTTCCTTCTCCTTTCCTCCTGAGGGATGTTTAACTGGGAGAAAAGACGGTTACGAGGAAACATGAGAACTATGTTACAAGATTTTAAAGGGTGTCCCATACTTTCTGCTGCTCTAGAGACCAGGGCACAAGGGAGCAATGGTTTCAAATGACAGAGAAAGCGAGTAAGAGCTGTTGAAGAGTGACATTGGCTGCCTTGGGGTGTGGTGCAGTCTCCTTCTCTGGAAGCTTTTCCGCAGAGGCTGTCTATCAGGAGTGCTTTGATTGTGCCTTCTTGCATGGCAGGGGGTTGGACTGGATGGCCCTTGGGGGTCTCTTCCAGCTCTAGGATTTCTGTATCATGAATAGACAATATGAGGTCTAATTGATACACTTCTCACCCATATACCATGTCATCCTGACTAAGACCAACCCTTTTGGGATCAAAATGTTTCCAGTCTTTCCTTCTACTTAGAGAGAACCCCTCCCTCCCAGCTCGCCCACCCCGCTCCGACTGCCATGCGGCACCCAAGTTAGAAAGTTTGCCTATGCCTATCCTAGATTATCTGCTTTAAACTGGATTATATAAGTCTCCACTGTCAGATAATCTGGGATAAACGGATCGTCTGGAATTTGATCCTGAGATATAGAAGCAGTGTGGAAGGGCCTGAGTGATATTAAATTTGTTTTGCTCCTCTTGGGTAACAGAAGTAAAACTACAGAAGTTTTAAAATAGCATATATAAGTGGAATAAAATAGAACACATGTTAACAACATCCCAAGGTTGTTCTTTCCAAACCTGTTTGTGAAGTTTTAGAAACTTATTTATAAATAGCCATGCTGTTCAGTTTACAAGGGAATGAAAACTGCCTTGTTCTGAAGCAGACCAATCTTCAGCAGGTCTGACTACATGGGCAGTGATAAAGCATGATGGTAGTTGCAGTCCATATCAGATTATCCACTAGTTCTGTCACTGAGCTAGTGCACTAATGTTTATGTCAAGGATATATATCGTTGGAGTGTACCTCCCATTAGCCCTGGCCAGCACAGCTTGTAGTGAGGAATGCTAGGATTAGCAGTTAGGCGGAACCTGGGGCACCTGTTTTTTCTCACCCTGCATCACCTCTCCAGAATTTCTTCTGGTATTTCCTGGTCCTTGAATGCAACACAAGTAATTTGGCATTAAAATCCATGCACTCCATTTTGAATGATTATTCATCTTTGCTTTTGCTTAATGTCCCACTCAGTGAGTTTGGGACTTACTTCTGAATAAATATAGGCGGGATTATAGGACATTTCGGATTAATCAAATTCTCCACCTTTTGAAGATTGAAGTGTTGTGACTGGCAGCATCTAGTAAACTCTCATCTTGATTTGTTTCCCCAATAGTAAATATTTGAATTTAGTTCTCAACCAATTTCTTTGTCTCCCACAAGGTGAAGCTGAATTGGCTGAGATTCCAGAAGGTTATGTACCAGAGCATTGGGAGTATTATCCAGTGAGTATGAGACTGAAGGGAAATATATTGTAAATCAGTCCTTAGAAGATAGATTTTGAAATTGTTAATGAGGTAGAGACTAAGCATGTAAAGATAGCTGTGAAAGCATATGTAAAGTGCTTGGTGAGATCTTGGAAACCAAAATTTTGACCCTGCATCCTTACTCTTCTGTCAGAGTAAGTAATATACCATATATACTCAAGTATAAGCCGACCCTAATATAAACCAAGGCACTCAGTTTATCACAAAAAACTGGGAAAACATATTGACTTGAGTATAAGCCGAGGGCGGGAAATGCAGCAACTACTGGTAAATTTCAAAATAAAAATCGATTCCAATAAAATTACATTAATTGAAACTTCAATAGGTTAAATGTTTTTGAATATTTGCATAAAACTGTTAAGATAAGACTGTCCAACTCTGATTAAACCATTATTCTAACCTTCTTCAATGTAAATGTGCTTATGTATCCTTCCAATAATAATAGAGTAAAATAATAAATGTAATAAAAATAATAGAGTAAAATAAGAAAGGTAATATTTATTTATTTATTTATTTACTGTATTTGTATACTGCCCTTCTCAGCCAATCGGCAACTCAAGGCAGTTTCCAACAAATCAGTATTCATAAAACATGTTGTTGTTGTTCATTCGTTCAGTTGTCTCCGACTCTTCGTGACCTCATGGACCAGCCCACGCCAGAGCTCCCTGTCGGCCGTTACCACCCCCAGCTCCCTCAAGGTCAGTCCAGTCACTTCAAGGATGCCATCCATCCATCTTGCCCTTGGTCGGCCCCTCTTATTTTGGCCATCTTCCGACCTGGGAGTCCCATCTTCCAATGGCATACCGACATATCTCTGGTTGTACTGGTCCATTTAGTTTTCTTGGCAAGGATACTGGAGTGGTTTGCCATTGCCTTCCCCAGGGATCACGCTTGGTCTGACCTCTCTGCCACAACCGTCCCGTCTTGGGTGTCCCTTCACGGTTTCGCTCATGACATCATTGAGGTGCTCAAGCTCCAGCGCCCCGACAAGGCGGTGATCCTTTGCTGGAGTCATAAAACATAATATAGATTAAAACATTAAACAGTATAAAACACTACAAATAGAGTAAAAAATAAATATAATAATTGAGTAAAATAATAAATGTAATAGTAATAATAAACAGAGTAAATAATAAATGTAATAAAAATAATCATAATAAAGTGAAATAATGTAAATGTAATAACAGTAAAAATAGTAAAATAATAAATGTAATAATAAGAATAACAAAATGAAATAAAAAATAACCTTGACTTGAGTATAAGCCAAGGGGAGCTTTTTCAGCCTAAAAAAAGGGCTGAAAAACTCGGCTTCTACTCAAGTACATATGGTAGATTCCCACATAAGCACAGTAGTTGAACCACAGGGAAGATTTCAGTAGTGTGGGATTCTGGAAACTGCAGAAATAGCCATGGGCTCACATAATTTCCACCCCTGTATTATTAATTCCTCATATAATCTGCATGGTAAGTCTGAGCTCTTGGAAGGGTCAGTGCCATCCTATCAACTCATCTAATCCATGTTAAAGACTTCACTGTGGCAAGTGGAAGATGGCAAATGTGTTCATTTATTTATTTATTTATTTGGTGCATTTGTTGACCGCCGCTCTCAGCCCTGGGGCGACTCGCGGCGGTGTACAACATATAAAAAGGCAATTTACAAAAAATTCATGATACGTGACTTGCTTTTCCTTTTCTTCAGCACCCCATAACACGGTGGATCACTCGCTATCTCGTTGATCCCCCTCAAAAGGATTATGAAAAAGGAATGGCTTTGGTTTTTATTGAAGGAGAGAAAATTGAGTTAAGGTAGGCAGATTACTGATTTACTGGTTGCTTTCACAACTTATTGGAGCTATGGCTTCAGTTCTGAGCCGAAGGAAGAACCTAGAGACGATATTCGCAAGGTCACACAGAGGTCTGATCGGTAGACTAACTGGAAATGGCTTTCTATTCCTGTCCCTGCTTTGCCGGTTTGCATCTAGCTAATGGATATGTTAAGTGTGTCCTTTCTCTGGGCTTTTCATACCTTGAATCACCTTGAAGAAATGTGGTTTCATCTACACCCGGAATCCGTCCACTCACTCAAATTGCATCTGGTGGCATTGTCTTCATGATTGCTATGACTACTTCATAACCCAGTGGCCAACCTTTGTGTGTACCATCGTGTTTACCCACACAGTTCCACCAGAATTTAACATTATCCCCAAATATGTCTGTTTTCCTCAGTAGTCCCTCTCAACATGGCATCACAGAAGGATGCAGTGTGACTTCTGGCTGCCATTTTGAGAAGGGCTAGTGAGGAAATCAGGAAGTTTGGCTTGCTGTTTATGATTTTGCAGCCTGATTCAGAGGACGGTATGCCTTGTGGGGAAAATTGACCCCTGCCAATTGGTCTCTTGCACTTATTTATTTACAGCATTTATATTCCGCCCTTCTCACCTCGCAGGGGACTCTGGGTGGATCACAATGCACATATACATGGCGAATATTCAATGCTGTAGACACACAACATATATAGACAGAGACACAGAGGCTATTTAACATTCCAGCATCATGAGGGTATGCTTTTTGAATTCCAGGCACCAGGGGAGCTGTCGCTTCACCATCCACTTGTGACACCGATAGAGTACTTCCTCATTCTTTGCATGCTGTTAATGGCGTCATAAATTAGTTAAATTAGCCTCCCGCGTAAGCGGTACCTAAATTTTCTATTTGACAGATACAGCTGTCCTTTGGGCTGCAAAGGTCGACAGCAAGCTAGACAAATGGCCGGAAGCTCACTTCAACCTGGGCTGGCTTCGAACTCATGACCTCTTGGTCAGTAGTGATTTTAATGCAGTTGACTCCTAACCAGCTGCACCACAACCCGGTCACAACTTAGTTTCCATTGCAAATCCTTCCATACCAGGCTTGACTTCAGGGTGTCTGGAAGCCAATTGTCTGTCCCTTGAAACTGCCAGAAAAAAAATGAAACTGGACAAGAGTTCAGTTCTGGTTTTGAAAAATGGCTATTTTTATGGCCTGTTTAAAAGATGAACTGCCTTTCCAGAAGACACAATTCACCTTTTACCCCAGAAAAGGGATGGAGGAATCCAGCAATGGTTAGAAGCTACAAATACAATTGTTGGAGAAGTGCATGTTTTCCTGGAGCATCACTTTGCCTGCTGCATCTTTATGCAATCACATGTGTCAACACCCAGCTACTTGATTGTATGGATCTTTTAATCAAAAGCTATTGCCATATTTTATTGATTCTATTCCTCTTGCTAATTTTATATGTCTGGTTTTAAATGTGTTAATGCGGATATGTTGTATTTGATATGTTGTATGGCACCATTGTGCGCTATTTGTAAGCCGCCCTGAGTTTCTACGGGAGATGGTGGAGGGGTATAAAATAAAGTTTTTGGTTAATGTCAACCATTAAACAACAGGCAATCCCCAAGTTACAAACAAGATAGGTTCTGTAGGTTTGTTCTCAAGTTGAATTTTTATGTAAGTTGGAACAGTTATATTTTTAAAAGTGCAACACCAGCCTATATATATACACACATGCATGCATGCATGCTTTGGATAGTATAGGAAAGGATTATAACACCTCTGTAGTGTTTGTTTTGCTGTCTGTGCCCTTGTTCAGAAGATTTCCCCTCACTTTTTGTCCCTGTGAGAATTTGATTTTGAAAAAAATTGGCTTGTTGTGGAAACAAGGATTGGAGATACAGCTTCAGAGGACACATGTTTTCCCCCTGATAACTCTTTCAGGAGTGAATTTCCCTTCTGAGAGGTGGATTTCTTTCGCTTCCTGTTGTCTCACCCTTGTTCTTAAATATGAGTTGTGTGTAAGTCGGATGTTTGTAACTCATAATCTTCCTGTATATACTAACCTTTTCCCATGTATTGTCGAAGGCCAGAATCACTGGGTGGTTGTAGGTTTTCTCGGGTTATATGGCTATGTTCTAGAGGCATTCTCTCCTGACGTTTCACCTGCATCTATGGCAAGCATCCTCAGAGGTAGTGAGGTCTGTTGGAACTAGAAAAATGGGTTTATATATCTATGGAATGACCAGGGTGGGACAAAGAACTCTTGTCTGCTGGAGCTAGGTGTGAATGTTTCAACTGACCACCTTGTGTTTCATTGTATGAGATCATGTGGAAAACTAGGTTTTGTTAAATAAGCTTACATTAAATAGCATATGGGCTGTAATGTCTGCCTGTCAGATCTATCTCAATTAACTGTTCCCCTGTTTATATTTGTTAGGGACCCCCTGGTGGTGCAGTGGGTTAAACCGCTGAGCTGCTGAACTTGCTGACCAAAAGGTCAGTGGTTTGAATCCAGGGAGCAGGATAAGCTCCCGCTGTTACCCCCAGCTCCTGCCAACCTAGCAGTTCAAAAACATGCAAATGTGAGTAGATCAGTAGGTACCTCTTCGGCGGGAAGGTAACGGTGCTCCATTTTTTTTGTGGTGTCAGGAATGACTTGAGAAACTGCAAGTCGCTTCTGGTGTGAGAGAATTGGCCGTCTGCAAGGACGTTGTCCAGGGGACGCCTGGATGTTTTTGATGTTTTCTCATCCTTGTGGGAGGCTTCTCTCATGTCCCCTCAGGAGGAGCTAGAGCTGATAGAGGGAGCTCATCCGTGCTCTCCCCAGATTCGAACCTGCGATCTGTCAGTCTTCAGTCCTGCCGGCACAAGGGTACCTCCTCGGCGGGAAGGTAACGGTGCTCCATTGCGCCACCGGGGGCTCCACACGGCGCTCTATGCAATCATGCCATCCACATGACCTTGGAGGCATCTATAGACAACGCCGGCTCTACAGCTTAGAAATGGAGATGAGCACCAATCCCCAGAGTCGGACATGACTATACTTAACGTCAAGGGGAAACCTTTACCTTTACTTTACCTTATATTTGATAGGACTTTGGTTTGAGTAATAGACGACATAATCCAATTTGGTTTTGGCAACTATATTAGTCTGTTGTTTAAAGGATGGCTAATTACTTGAGTGCTGGACCTCTTGTTCTTATACTATTCTTAATTGTCTGGTTTGTATATCATGTTTTAATGAAGATTTTTTTTTATTTTTAGCCTGTTTTGGGTGGAAGGCCCACATGCAAATTAAGGGCTACCTAAATTTGCAACTAATATGTAGTCTTCCTTTCCATTTTCTCATTTTCCCTTTCTTGTTCTTTAACAGGAAGAAACAAAAGGAAGCCCGCCGCCTCATGCGAGAAAGAGGCGATGGACCATGGTTTCACTATGATACCACTGGCACAAGCCTGATTGACTATTCTCCTAAATCAACACCCGATAACTAAGATTGCTCATCTCTTCATCCAAGTGTGAATCCGCAGACAGCATCTGAATTAATGTAATATATATATATAATTTCAAGTTTCAATAAATATTTCTGATTCAGAAACCTGCTGTAATGTTTCAAATACAACACAGTCTTGACCATGCATATTCAAAAAGTGTGATGTATGAAATGGGTGGCTGAGATACTGACACATTTACTTTGTGATAGTTGCTGCAAGTACATAAACTTTGTTTAATGCACAGCACGTTTAAAACTGTAGCTTAAAGTACCATCGTCTTCTGCAGAAGAAACATCAACAAATTTCATGTTAAGACTTTTATTCCATCTCCAGATGGCGTGAAAACAGATTAGAGTGATGAATGGCCAAAACTAACAAAATGAAGTTCAACGGGGACAAATGCAAGAGACTCCACTTAGGCAGAAAAAAAGGAAATGTAAAAATACAGAATGGGGGACGATGCCTGGTTTGACAACAGGACGTGTGAAAAAGATCTTGGAGTCTTTGTGGAAAGGAACATGAACATGAACCAACAATGTCACATGGTGGCAAAAAAAAAAAAACCAATGGGATTTTGGCCTGCATAAATAGGAGTCTAGTATTTAGATCTAGGGAAGTTATGCTACCCCTCTATTCTGCCTTGGTTAGACCACACCTGGAGACACACTGTGTTCAATTCTGGGCACCACAATTGAAAGGAGATGTTGACAAGCTGGAATGTGTCCAAAGCAGAGCGACTCACTTGATAAAGGATCTGGAGAACAAGTCCTATGAGGAGCGGCTTAAAGAGCTGGGCTGTTTAGCCTTCAGATGAGAAGGCTGAGAGGAGACATGATGAGGGCCATGTATAAATATGTAAGGGGAAGTCATAGGGAGGAGGGAGCAAGCTTGTTTTCTGCTGCCCTGGAGACTAAGATGCAGAACAATCTTAGGCTTCAAACTACAGGAAAGGAGATTCCACAGAACATTTGGAAAAACTTCCTAACTGTGAGAGCTGTTCAGCAGTGGAACTCTCTGAGGTGGAGGCTCCTTCTTTGGAGGCTTTTAAGCAGAGGCTGGATGACCACCTGTTGGAGGTGCTTTGAATGTGATTTTTCTGCTTCTTGGCAGGGGGTTGGACTGGATGGCCCATGAGGTCTCCAACTCTATGATTCCACTATATCTGTTTATGTATATAAGCAGATATGTTTATGTATATAAAGGGCCAGCTTTAGCACAGCAGGTTAATCGCCAGCTGCAGTAAATCTTGCGAACTGAAAGGTTGACAGTTCAGGTCAGGGTGAGCTCTTGACTTTTAGCCCAGCTCCCTTGCCCACCCAATGGATCAATAACATCAATGTGTGTAGATGAATAGGAACCGTATTAAGTGAGGAGATATTTTAGGCACTGTTTCGAAGGAAAGTGTATGAACAAAGAAAGCTCTTCGGCAAGGAGATGGAACAACAGCACTCCTCTGTGGCCGGAACCGAGCACAGCCTCCAAAAGACGCTGAATGATGAGAAAAAGCCTAAAAATATATACCTCTATCTTTTGTCTGTCTTGTCATTGTATAATCAGCATTGAATGTTTGCAGTACATGTCTTCTGTGATCCACTCTGAGTCCCCTTCGGGGGGGGGGGGGATCTGTGCCCGTATCTTGGAAGGTCTGACTTGGCCACGGTGGTCCACGCTCTTGTTACATCCCAAATAAACTACTGCAATGCGCTCTATGTGGGGTTGCCTCTGAAGACTACTTGGAAGCTTCAGCTAGTACAACGCACGGCAGCCAGTTACTTACGGGAGCGGAGTACAGGGAGTGCACAACACCCTTGTTACACCAGCTCCTCCACTGGCTGCCTATTCGCTTCCGAGCACAATTCAAAGTGCTGGTTTTGATCTATAAAGCCCTAAACGGCTCTGGCCCACTTTACCTGTCCAAACGGGTCTCACCCTATGAACCATGAAGGACTTTTAGATCATCTGGGGAGACCCTGCTCTCATTCCCGCCACCATCGCAGTCAGGTTTGGTGGGGATGAAAGACAGGGCCTTTGTGGTCGTGGCCCCTCAGCTGTGGAACTCTCTCCCTAAAGAGGTTAGATCTGCCCCCTCCCTCCTGACTTTTTGCAAGACACTTAAGATGTGGCTGTGGGAGCAAGTGTTAGCAGAATAGACAATTTTATTGGCTTAGATGAGATTGTATGGACCGCATTTTTGGACTGATTTGGAGGATGTTTTAAACTTGGCAAACTGTTTTTAAATGTATATTTATTACCATTTTATGCAATTGTGTATTTTATTGGTGTTTTTATATTGTTGGAAGCCGCCCTGAGTCCCTCTTCGTTGTGAATAGGACGGGATACAAATTTCTAAATAAACAAACAACAAATACATAAATACTGTAAATAAATAAATATGCAATCTGAAATACAGATTATTTCTGGTCCAGGTAATTTAAATAAGGGATACTCAACCTACACCTGTTTCCCCCAAAAGTGGATGTGGAAATTATTCAAACCATTAGAGGGCAGCATTTCCTCAACCTCAAAGTCCACCTGTTCCTATTTAGCAATGAAGAGAACTTCAGAATGTATCAAACTGTACAATCTAAATATGGAAGAAATAAAAAGCAATATTTGGCACATCCTCTAGAAATGGAAGAGTATTTTGTTTCAGTTCATTGTTCTGATCAGAATTTATGAGCATCTGGATGTTAGAGAAAGCAGAACTGACGGTACGAGTATGTTCTTTTCTCTTCTGCCCAACTGAATGCCCTTTGACACTACATCCATCGCACTGCAATTCCATTTTCACGGATGTATTCTATGGAATTTTAAATTACAAATCTCTGACCTCTCCTGGAACAACTTTGTGTCCAGTTCTTGGCACCGCAATTCCAGAAGGGTATTCACAAACTGGAACGTGTCCAGAGAAAGGCAACCAAAGTGGCAAAAGTTCTGGAAGACAAGTCCTATGAGGAGCAGCTTAGGGAACTGGGTATGTTTAGTTTGGAGAAAAGGTTGACAAGAGGGACAAGAGATCCATGTTACAATATTTGAAGGGGCAAACTTATTTTCTGCTGCTCTGGAGACTAAAGGCCCTTCCAGACAGGCCCTGTATCCCAGGATCTGATCCCAGGATTTCTGTTTATCCCAGATTATCTGGCAGTGCGGACTCATATAATCCAGTTTAAAGCAGAAAACCTGGGATCATATCCTGGGATATAGGGCTTGTCTGGAAGGGCCCTAGGACACAAAGCAATGGATTCAAACATCAGCAGAAGAGATGCCACCTAAACTTTAGGAAGTTTGCAGATGACACCAAATTGGGAGGGATAGCCAATACTCCAGAGGACAGGAGCAGGATTCAAAACGATCTTGACAGATTAGAGAGATGGGCCAAAACTAACAAAATGAAGTTCAACAGTGACAAATGTAAGATACTCCACTTTGGCAGGAAAAACGAGATGCAAAGATACAGAATGGGGGACAATGCCTCGCTCGAGAGCAGTACGTGTGAAAAAGATCTTGGAGTCCTCGTGGACAACAAGTTAAACATGAGCCAACAATGTGATGTGGCGGCATCTCTCAGGGGTGATTTGAATGCAATATTCCTGCTTCTTGGCAGGGGGTTGGACTGGATGGCCCATGAGGTCTCTTCCAACTCTTTGATTCTATGATTCTATGAACTGGAGGGCTTGCTAGGGAGATGTCTACTCAAGTTTTTAAAAAATCCAAATATTCATGTTTTGTTGGTTTTTTACTTTCCTGGGGGCCCTGTTCCCCAATCTCAGCAAATATGGTGGGATCACTGTACATTTAGAAACTACAACTTCCAGCATTTCCCATTCTGAAAATGCCAGCTGAAGTCTCATGGTTTTCAAGCAGGGAGAGAAAAGCCCAGAACAAGAAGGAAGGCTGGTTCATGTAAGGTTCAGATACCAAACAGGTACCTGAGCCATTCTTCTGCCATTAACAGTAACTCCTATTCAATGTGACAGCTGCCATTTCTGATATTTTTCTCTCATTGTCCCTTTTGTCTTCTTTATTACATTTTCTTCTTAGCAAAATGTCTCTTTGAGGCCTACTCTTCCCTCCTTGCATCTCACTTTCTGCTGCAAGCGAACGGCCCATAAGGAAAGGAGATGGCATTGATGATGCCCATAGGCACCACATCACCTTGCCCTTGTGCCATAGGGTTGGCTTTCTAGCATGAGATTCAGAATTTTCTAATTCAAAAGAAAAATGAAAAGGTGGACAGAGCTACAATATTTCTTTTCAGTATCAAATCTCAAATACCTCTCCTGCTGTGATTTGTGGTTCTATGTGTAAGCGTGTTTATTTTTTTGGGAGGAGAGTGATGTAGTTGTTGATGAAATCCATTGGGTGATCATGGGAAGGTCATATTCTCTCAGCCTCAAGAGGAAAAGGTAAAGGTTTCCCCTGACATTAAGTCTATCTGTGTCTGGCTCTGGGTGGTGATGCTCATCTCCATTTCTAAGCCGAAGAGCCGGCATTGTCCATAGACACCTCCAAGGTCATGTGGCCAGCATGATTACATGGAGCGCTATTACCTTCCAGCAGAAGTGGTACCTATTGATCTAATCACATTTATAAGTTTTCGAACTGCTTGGTTGGCAGAAACTGGGGCTAACATTGGGGTGGGGGGTGTCTTCTCCGACTGCCATTCCCAGAACCCTCCAAACTGAATCCCCTGTTGTGGGATGGGCAATCTGACAAGGCATGGTTAGCTTGTAGACTCCGATGAGCCAACAATGTGATGCGGCAGCAAAAAAAGCCAATGATGATTTTGGCCTGCATCAATAGGAGTATAGTGTCTAGATGCAGGGAAGTCATGCTACCCATGCTCTATTCTGCCTTGGTCAGACCACACCTGGAATCACACTGTGTCCAATTCTGGGCACCACAATTGAAGAGACATATTGACAAGCTGGAATGTGTCCAGAGGAGGGTGACTAAAATAATCAAGGGTCTGGAAAACAAGCCCTATGAGGAGCGGCTTCAAGAGCTGGGCATGTTTAACCTACAGAAGGCTGAGAGGAGACATGATGAAGGCCATAGTTTAATATGTGAGGGGAAGTCATAGGTAGGAGGGAGCAAGCTTGTTTTCTGCTGCCCTGGAGACTAGGACGGGGAACAGTGGCTTCAAACTACAAGAAAGGAGATTCCATCTGAACATAAGGAAGAACTTTCTGACTGTGAGAGCCGTTCAGCAGTGGAACTCTCTGCCCTGGAGTGTGATAGAGGCTCCTTCTTTGGAGGCTTTTAAACAGAGGCTGGATGGCCATCTGTTGGGGGTGCTTTGAATGCACTTTTTCTGCTTTTCAGCGGGGGGTTGGACCGGATGGCCCATGAGGTCTCTTCCAACTCTAGGATTCTATGCTCCATATGTATATCTCTGTCTGTAAGTCCTTGTTTTGGCAGGAATTGTGAGAAATAAATAATCTTTACAGGATAGATGAGATTGTGGAACTCTCCTAGTTGCAGTGAATGCTTTTGAAGCAGACTACTGAGACTGACATTGATTCTACTTCTTTCTATAGGAATCAACGAGTGCATAATTTGAGTTTGAATCCCTGGGCTCATAAGCTTGCATAGCAAAAATAAAGGGCCAGCATGCAAATAGCATCGATTTTGAAATTGCAGGGGTATCTGATGTGCTCCAGATTTGGGGGCAAGTTAAAATAAAATTAAAGAAGACCCCCCAGTTCTGTACTCCAGATACAGACTAGAATCTTGATCTGGACTGCCCACAATGAGAATAAAGGGAGGGATCTGTATTCAATGGATGATGCTTTGAAGTCAAGACTGAACACAGTTTGATCTCAAAACAGAACCTTACCACTGGATGAATGTGAACCAGTAACACTGGGAAACCAGCTTCAGGGATCGATACAATGGACCACATTGGACCTTCAAACAAATACATATATTTTTTATTTATTTAAAAGTTTTGTATACCAGCCTTCTCACCTCTCTTGAGGGACTCAGACCGGTTTCCAACCATAATATCACATACAATCAATAAAACATCATAATACATATTACAGTAAAACATTAAATCAGCAATTACAATCAATAACTATAATGGTCAGTCATCACACTAAAATCATTGCTCATCGTCTTCCATCCATATCTCAGGGTGTTGGCTCATTCGTCGAATGCCTGTCTCCATAACCAAGTTTTCACCTGTTTCCTAAATGTCAGGATAGACGGGGCGGTTCTGATCTCCAGTGGGAGAGAGTTCCACAGTCGAGGGGCCACCACCGAGAAGGCCCTGTCCCTCGTCCCCACCAGACGCGCTTGCAAGGCCGGTGGGACCGAGAGCAGGGCCTCTCCAGACGATCTTAATAATCTTGATGGTTCATAGGGGAGAATACGTTCGGAGAGGTAAACAGGGCCGGAGTCATTTAGTAGGAATATGAATATCAACCAGGCATGGGCAAACTTTGGCCCTCCAGGTGTTTTGGACTTCAACTCCCACAATACCTATCAGTCCATAGGCTCATGAGCAGGGGCGGCTCGTCCATTACGCGAAGTAAGCGGTCGCAGAACACTTTTTTTTGCCAGGGGCGCAGAGGCGCCTCTGTAAATGCCCCTCGACTGCCACTTGAGGAGCCCCCTCAGCTCACAACAGCCTTAGCAGTCCGGGGGGAGCCTCGGCTTTCTTGCCTCGCTGCTGGGCGATCCTCTTCCCAAAGGGGCCGGGCCCTTGAGTCTCGCCTAGCCCCTCTCGTTCCTGCTCCACCTGGCCACCAGGTGCGTGAGCAGAGCCGGCGCTCAATCGTTCTCCACATTCGATCCCTTCCCCATGACCGGCTCCCTTTCCTGATCCCCCGGCGCTCCATCCGCCTCCTCTGCTCTCACCAATCCGCGGGTGGGCCAAGGGGCGGAGCCGCTGCGCCTGGCCCACTTCGGGTCCGGAGGTGTGTCTGAAGACCCCAGCGTACACACCAAAAATCGCATCTTCTCCTGACTTTTTCTTCAGCCATTGGGACCAAGAGAGAGAGAGAGAGCCCCTCCGGCTGGAGGTATCTCCCACCTCCACTCCCTCCTTTGTTTTTGTGCCTACTTTTAGGAAAGGTGGGCATCTCCACCTCGGTCTCTCTCTCTCTCTCTCTCTCGGTCCCAATGGCTGAGGAGAAAGTCAGGAGAAGAGGTGACTTTTCGTGCACACGCCAGGGTCCGGACCCAAAGCGGGCCAGGCAAGGGAGCAAGTGTGGCAAGTGTAGTTACTGGGATGTATAGTTCACCTACAATCAAAGAGCATTCTGAACTCCACCAATGATGGAATTGAACCAAATATGGCACACAGAACTCCCACGATGAACAGAAAATATATATCAATGATTGGTTGGGGGGGGGGGGGGTGCCAAAATACTGTTTGCTTACCGTTGAAAATTACCTAGGGCCGCCTCTGCTCATGAGGTCTCTTCCAACTCTGGTTGCCCAGGAACGCACCCTTCCCCAGGAATGAGCCTGGGAGTGACTGCAGAGGCTTCCTCTGAGCATGTGCAGAGTGCCTCTCCCTTCCTCCCCCCTCGGGGGCCAGGAGGCAGGCTCCGAGGGCGTGGCTGGAGGAGCCTTGGCGCTTCTCTCTGGGCAGCTGCGGCTCCCTCCGTCTCCCGCCGGGTTAAAGATAGCCTCCCTCTCTCCTCCTCCTCCTCCTGCTTCTCGTCCGGCCAGGAGGGCTTTCTCTCTCTCTGTGTGTGTCTCTCTCTGTGGGGCGATGGAGCGGGCGGCACTGTTGGGGTCCGGGCGGGAGGCAGCGGTGGGCCCGGAGATCGCGGGGGACGTGGGCGAGCTCCTGGTGCCCTACATGCCCACCGTCCGGGTGCCCAAGACCGGGGACCGCGTCTACAAGGCCGAGTGCGCCTTCTCCTACGACTCGCCGGTGAGTCCCTTCCTCCTTTCCTTGCCGCCTTTGGGCTGTGGGTCCCTTGCCTTTTTCCAGAGACCCCCTCCCTCCCTCCGTTTACACTTGCTTCCAGGCCTTGGCGGGGCCACCCATTCCCCTTTCCAGGGGGTTGCTTGGGACTTTCTTAGGACTGTCTCTCCTCACTGGCTTTTGAGAAGTGTTTGGGGTCTGGGAAAGATTTCTGCAGAGAGATCCCTTGCACATGGGACTCGCCACATTTAGCTTTTCTTTCCTTGGGTTTGCGTGTTCTCTTTAATGCTTTTGCTGTGAGTTTTCCGGGCTGTGTGGCCATGTTCCAGAAGCATTCTCTCCCCACGTTTCGCCCACACCAATGGCAAGCATCCTCAGAGGTTGTGAGGTCTGTTGGAAACTAGGCAAGTGGGGTTTATCTCTTTAGTGCTTTTGCTGTGAGTTTTCCGGGCTGTCTGGCCATGTTCCAGAAGCATTCTCTCCCCACGTTTCGCCCACACCAATGGCAAGCATCCTCAGAGGTTGTGAGGTCTGTTGGAAAGTAGGCAAGTGGGGTTTATACATCTGTGGAATAATGTCCAGGGTGGGAGAAAGAACTCTTGTCTGCGTGAGACAAGTGTGAATGTTGCAATTTATTGTCGAAGGCTTTCATGGCTGGAATCACTAGGTTCTTGTGGGGTTTTTCGGGCTATGGCCATGTTCTAGAGGCATTTTCTCCTGACGTTTCGCCTGCATCTATGGCAAGCATCCTCAGAGGTAGTGAGGTCTTCTCAGCCCAACCTAAAAGCCAAAGGCAGATGGCCAATTCTCTCACACCAGAAGTGCTTGCCATAGATGCAGGCAAAATCAGGAGAGAATGCCTCTAGAACATGGCCATATAGCCCGAAAAACCCACAAGAACCTCATGTTATAATTGGCCACCTTGACTAGCATTGAATGGCCTTGCAGCTTCAAAGTCGGGCTGGTTGCAGCCTGGGGAAATCCTTTATTAGGAGATGTTAGCTGGCCCTTGGTAGAATATCAAGTCTGCAAACTTTGTGTTTTGTTTGTTTGCTTTAATACAATACAACTGTTTTGGTTCGCTCCTGACACAATAAATAATAAATAAATAAGCTGGCCCTGATTGATTCTTGTCTGGAATTCCCCTATATATTTTTTTTAGTGTTGCTCTTTATTTCCTGTCCTGATTTTGGAATTTTTAAAATACTCGTAGCCAGATTTTGTTCATGGCCAGAATAATTGGGTTGTTGTGAGTTTTCCGGGCTGTCTGGCCATGTTCCAGAAGCATTCTCTCTCAACATTTTGCCCACACCAATGGCAAGAGTCCTCAGAGGTTGTGAGGTCTTTTGGAAACTTGGCAAGTGGGGTTTATTTATCTTTGGAATGCCCAGGGTGGAAGGAAGAACTCTTGCCTGCTGGAGGCAAGCTTGAATGTCACAATTGGCTTCTTAACATTTAGTGGCCTTGTAGCTTCAAAGCCTGGCAGATTGCTGCCTGGGGATGTTAGCTGACCTTGATTGATTCTTGTCTGGAATTCCCTTGTTTTTTTAGTCTTGCTCTTTATTTACTGTCCTAATATTAGAGTTTCTAAATACTGGTAGCCAGATTTTGTTCATTTTCATGGTTTCCTCCTTTCTGTTGAAATTGCCCACGTGCTTGTGGATTTCGATGGTTTCTCTGTGTAGCCTGACATGTTCAACAACACATAATTAAGGCAGATTCGTAAATTAAGAACTATTGAGTTCCAGGATAAAAAGCTTTCCAAACCATATCCGGTTGTGTTGTTGAAGGCTTTCATGGTCAGAATCATTGGGTTGCTGTGAGTTTTCCGGGCTGTCTGGCCATGTTCCAGAAGCATTCACTTCTGATGCTTCATCCACATCTATGGCAGGCATCCTCAGAGGTTGTGAAGTCTGTTGGAAACTAGGCAAGTGGGGTTTATATATCTTTGGAATGCCCAGGGTGGGAGAAAGAACTCTTGTCTGCTAGAGGCAAGCGTGAATGTCAGAATTGGCCCCTTAATTAACATAATTAACATAATTAATTAACATAATTAACAAGTGGCCTTGAAGCTTCAAAGCCTGGCTCATTGCTGCCTGGGGGATGTTAGCTGGCCCTGATTGATTCTTGTCTAGTATTCCCCCCTCCCTTTTTTAGTCTTGCTCTTTATTTACTGTCCTGATTTTAGAGTTTATTTTAAATTTATTTTCATGGTTTTCTCCTTTTTGTTGAAATTGTCCACATGCTTGTGGATTTCAATGGCTTCTCTGTGTAGTCTGATATGGTAGTTGTAGAGTGGTCCAGCATTTCTGTGTTCTCAAATAATACGCTGTAAATAATATGTCGGCAATTCAAATCTGGGGAGAACAGGTTGAGCTCCCTCTGTCAGCTCCAGCTTCCCATGCGGGGACATGAGAGAAGCCTCCCACAAGGATGGTAAAACATCAAAACATCCGGGCATCCCCTGGGCAACGTCCTTGCAGACGGCCAATTCTCTCACACCAGAAGCAACTTGCAGTTTCTCAAGTTGCTCCTGCCACACACACACACACAATCGATGTGGGTATATGAGGTGCTCTTCATTGTGCCCACATTTGCCCAACTATCTCTACCTGCCTCTTCTGAGTAGACCAATCACTTGATCTAAGAAATCCTGCGTGGTTTTGTATAGCGGTTTGACTATTAGCCTAGGAGTCTGGGAGATCAGGGCTCAATTCCTTGCTCAATCATGGAAAAATTTTGGGTGACCTTGGTCAAGTCACAGTCTCTCAGCCTAAAAGAAAGGTAATAGCAAGCCTCCAAACACAGATTGCCAGTACTATAAGCCAATGTTGACCTGAAGGCAGTCACTTGCTGTATTGTTTAGGCAACATTCAGTGCCATAGTGTCCCTTGTAACTCCATCTGGCTGGTGAGGTGGTCAAAAGATAGACTGTATTATTTATTTTGTTATTTCAATGTTTATATCCCACCCCATAGCTGTGCATTTCAGAACAATCTTCTATATAAATAAAAATGTAGTGTTCGTTTGTGGGATTAACATAACCCAAAAGCCACTGGGCGAATTGACACCAAATTTGGATGCAATACACCTCTCAGGCCAACGAGTGACCATCACTCATAAAACACTGAAAAACACAGAAGAGATTTAAAAAGCCAAAAAATAAAAATACATTACAACACATGTGCAAAACCACATATATACACGTATACACAAATGCACAAACACACACATATACACACACAAAACACATATACACAGACATGGCCACGGCAACATGTGGCAGGGTATGGCTAGTCTATATAAATAAAAAATGTAATGTTCGTTTGTGGGATTAACATAACCCAAAATTCACTGGATGAATTGACACCAGATTTGGACACAATACATCTATCAGGCCAATGAGTAACCATCAATCATAAAACACTGAAAAACACAGGAAAAGAGATTTAAAAAGCCAAAAAATAAAAATACATTACAACACATGCGCAAAACCACATATATACACATATACACAAATGCACACACACACACATATATATATACACACACAAGACACATATACACAGACATGGCCACAGCAACATGTGGCAGGGGATGGCTAGTCTATATAAATAAAAAATGTAATGTTCGCTTGTGGGATTAACATAATTCAAAAACCACTGGATGAATTGACACCAAATTTGGACACAATACACCTATCAAGCGCATCACTCATAAAAACACAGCAAAAGGGACTTAAAAAGCAAAAGTATGCTACAGCGCATGCATGTGCAAAACAACTCCCCCGGCAAACAAAACACACAAAAGCATATCCACACTCTCTTCCAGACTACAGCTCCCAGCATCCCCTAGACCAGGCCCTTTAGGAGAGGAGGATGATCCAAATGCACTGCTTCCAAGCTGCAAGCTTTCTTCTCCTTGGATTTCTTTGAGAGCATCCCAATCCCTGCATATTTCCAATTTCCTATTCCTGGACTGCAACTCCCAGCAATCCTCCAGATAGATAGTTAGAGATAGGTAGGTAGATAGATTGATCAGGAGGACTGCTGGGAGTTGCAGTCCAAGAATAGGTAGAGAAGGAAGAAAGGGGAGTAAGAGGAAGGGCAAAAAAGGAAGAGGAAGAGAACTATTGAGATGTCCAAAAAAATGGAAGGAAGGAAGGAAGGAAGGAAGGAAGGAAGGAAGGAAGGAAGGAAGGAAGGAAGGAAGGAAGGAAGGAGAAGAAAGGAGGAGAGAAAGAGGGAGGGAAGGTTGGCCACAGCAACGCGTGGCGGGTTCAGCTAGTCTATATAAATAAAATGTAATGTTTAATGTATTCTCGAAGGCTTTCATGGCTGGAATCACTGGGTTGCAGTAGAGATGATACAGTGTTCTAATAATAATAAAAGCTGACAAGATATGAGGATTCAAAGATTGAACTTCAAAGACTCTGGCACATGCCAGTGGTCCCAGAGATGATCAGCACACTGGGTTCAGTGCCTAAAGACCTTGACCTGCACTTAAACACAATCGGCGCTGACAAGATTACTATCTGCCAACTGCAAAAGGCCACCTTACTGGGATCTGCATGCATTATTTGCCGATGCATCACACAGCCCTAGACACTTGGGAAGTGTCCAATACAAGAGCCAGCAGAGTGTCTACTGTGTACTCATCTTGTTGTGTTTCAAATAATAATAATAATAAGAGAAACAACTGGAAAAGCTGACACGGTATCCGGATTTAAAGATCGAACTGCAAAGACTCTGGCACAAGCCAGTCAAGGTGGTCCCAGTGGTGATCGGCACACTGGGTGCAGTGCCTAAAGACCTTGGCCAACACTTAAATACCATCGGCGCTGGGATCTGCATGCATTATTCACCGATACATCACACAATCCTAGATAATTGGGAAGTGTCTGGCATGTGATCCAATACAACAGCCAGCAGAGTGACCTTGTTTGCTGTGTTCTTTGGAAGCTTTTAAACAGAGGCTGGATGGCCATCTGTCAGGGGTGATTTGAA